GGGTGAGGAGAAGCTGTGTGCGCCCATGAGCGCCATAAGGGAGAATGGAGAAGGGGCACGGCTCCCTGTGTTTGATACCCACCCTTCCTCCCGTCCAGGACTCAGTCACTGTTGCTCCCCGGGGACCGTTTCTCTCTGGTGTCCATTGGAAAAGAAACGGCTTCCTGACTCTTGCCAATGGTGTGGGCGGGCAGCCAGATTGGCACAAAACGGATGGCTTTGGGGAGGTGAGGGGGAGGGGAAAGCAACCATGGTTTTCTTTCTTCCTTCCTTCCTTCCTTCCTTCCTTCCTTCCTTCCTTCCTTCCTTCCTTCCTTCCTTCTGTCCTTCCTTCCTTCTTTCTTTCTTTCTTTCTTTCCTCTTTTTTATTTTTTAAGTATTGAGCATGAAACCTGGGACCGTGCCCCGACCAGGAATGAACCGGCAGCCTTCTGGTGCACACAACAAAGCCCAACCAGCTGAGCACACAGGCCGGGGCATGGCCTCGTGTCTTATTAGGGGTTCCTTCTGTGCCCCAATTCCCCCAGGCCCTAGCAGGGTGTAATTAAATTATTTTAAATTTCATTAGCTTTTCCTCTGCCTGTTGGCATCCTCCCCCATCCACTTCCAAGGCTGGGAACATCCTGTCCCCTGCCCTCCACCCCACCCCTTCCCCACCCCACAGCTCCTCCTAAAGATCCCCTGTGCCCCGGAGACCGGCCCTCACAGCCAACACTGGGGCTCTGGCCAGGCCGCATCACCTGAGGGCAGGAGGGAGCCTCCCTCCCAGTCTCATCTGTGCAAGGTCTGCCTACTGCCCACCCGCTTCCCGGAGGAGCAAGCTCTCTCCTGACGCCCAGCCTGGCAGCAGCTCCTGAGCTCCGGCTACGCCCCTGTCTCTGCAGGAGGGAGAAGCTCCCACAGGGGAGGCAGGGAGCTGTCGTCCATTTTACAGATGAGGAAACTGAGGCCTCCGCCAAGTCAACAGCACCATAGCTGGAGTTCCGGCCACTTCTGGTGGACTGCGACTTCAGCAGTAGATTCCCCTTCCCGCCCCGCCAGCGTCCCCCGTCACCCCACTGCCACAGGAACCCCCAAACAGCCCGAGCCGTGCAGCTGCCGCCAGCCTGGAAGCAGGTGTCCCATTGAGCTATAATTAGGCTCCTCATTTTAAAAAACTGGTGTGGCTTCAAAACACTCAGTGAAGATGGGATGAAATCAACAATTATGTAAATTTTGATTATGCTAAATGTAATTGCCATGGCCCCGCTTTCACAGCGCTTGCGGCCATCAATTAGTGACATTTATTTAAAAAAAAACACACACACAAAAAAAACACCTCACTGAGTGATGGAGCGGACGGATGAAGTGTGTGGGGGGAAGGATCATCTTTCTCTGTGGGCACCTCTTCGGTGAGGTGCCCAGCCCTGCCCAGCCCTCCAGCAGCGGCGGCAGATGAGTAAGAAGTATCTGGAGCCGCCCCCAGGGACCTGGGCTTTATTGCTAAGTTAGGGCTTTTTTCTTTCTTTCTTTTTAATTCAGGAGATGCCATTCCGTGGTCATTTAGCTCCTATTGAATTTCCCCGGTGGTGGCTTTTTTATTGGATTCTGTCCTCCTATGACGGCCATCATTTCTCATTACTTCTCAGATTGCTCTGTGGTTCTGCCTTTAAGATATATGACTCCCGCAGGCCCCTCCAGCACACTCCTCACCCTTCTCTCCTCCCCCGAGACCTCGAAGCCTCCCTTCTCCTCTTCTTGTACCCCTGACCTGCACAGCTGGGGCCCGATCCAGCGTTAGACTCCGAAGACAGAGATGTGTCTGGTTGGGTTTTTTTTTTTAATAAAGCACCTAGCGATCCTAAAACGCATCCATGGCATCAGACCACACCCATGGGCTTCCAGCAAAGGCCCCAGCTGTCGTGTGAGAGATTGGAGCCGTCTCTGTGAAGGGGTCGCTGGGAAGACGGAAGCTCTGCATGCTGTGTGCCGTTTTGCGGCATTTGTGGGAACTTGACCTCTGAGGGCCAGACTGGTCAGCCTTGCTGAGCGATCCCACTCAAAATGCAGTCTGTGCAGCAGACACCACAAGAGGGCAGTAAAGGTTTGCAAGTCGAAGATCCTGTGAAAACCTGCACACAGGGTAGAGGTGAACTTAGGTCTGCATCTCGTTACTTTGGATGGATGTGAAGGTGGGATTACCCCGGGGCCCCCAATTGCCCTGTGGTTCTGGGGTGCTGAAAAGGCAAGCCGTCCAGGGTTCCCATAGCCTGTGGGAGCCCCTAGGTCTGGTGGCTCCCACAGGCTATCCCGGCACATTTCCTATCCACTCTGCGTCCGTTGCTCGAACTGCCTGCTTCGGAGTAGCGCTGTCGGCAGTCAGGAGGACAGTTTGCTTGGATGCGTCCGTGCGCGTCTGACCCTGCCATGGCCAGCTCACCAGGCAGAGCAGCGTCGGTTCCAGCGGGAGCATTTCTTGCAGGGAAAGGGCTTAGGGTCCAGCACCAAGGAAGTGTCAAGAACACGCTGACGGTAACATGCTCCCTCGGGCCTTTCTAAGGCGGCCACCAGACGCCTGGGCACTCAGCTCCCTGGTAGGGGACAGATGGTCTTTGGGCAGATGGGAAAACTTGGAAGTAGGGTGTTTCTGGTGTCCGTATCCTCATGGGAGTCTGGACTCTTAGCTAAGGTGACCAGACATCCCGCTTTTGGCAGGACAATTCCGATTTTTAACAATTTGTCCCTCATCCCACAGCGTTTTAAAACAGTCCTGATTTTTGAAACCCGGGACAAATTGTTAAAAATCGGGACGTCTTACTCTTAGACGCTGGACATAACTAAGGGCAGCAGCTTCCCAGGACCCGTGTAGCAGGTGACACAGGCCGTACTGCGTCCGCCTGTTAATGACAATCCGCCAGCCCAGCCCAGGGCATGTCAGCGTTCATCCGACAGCTCTGTGAGTGACGGGAACACGAGGCCGGAGGAAATAACACGGTTGGGTGGCTAAGGTGCATCACCCTCGATCCAAGAGGCCCAGGCACTCCGATTTCCACCCCCTTCCTTCTCCGAGGGTGGCTCAGTTGCCATGACAACACCGGCCCACTGGCCTCCTGTGCATTTGTCTCCACGGTGGTAACAGTAGATGGGTCCATAAAACTCTTTCTCATTAAGAGGACGACTTCATATGGTTTCCCTTCCGTTTCTGCTCCGCTGGTTAAGCAGGCAAGCTTTTTCCAGGACCTGTCAGCCAGCCCCGCCTCATGGAGCAGACGGGGTCGTAATTTAATTCAAGTGCATTTTGGGTTCTTAATTGGGGCTGTTCTGATAAGTTAGCAATGGAATACAGGTGTTTTACTTAAATCTAATTGCAAATAAGGATGTATACATTGGAGAACCGGCATGATCTAGGGCCGGGGCAGGCCAATTAGGAGTCATCCGAGCAAGTCCTAGCTGCGGCCTGTGTGTGTGGTTTAAGGTCTCACTGGAGCATAGACACGCTCCTGCACTCATCCATTCGCGCAGGACAACGGAGACAGTACTTGGTTTGCAAACCCCCCCAAATTTATTATCTGTCCTTTCCTATTTACCTACCTTCTATCCAGGAGAAGGAGCACTGAATGAAAAGAGCCACGTTCTGGCCCTAACCGGTTTGGTTCAGCGGTAGAGCGTCGGCCTGCGGACTGAAGGGTCCCAGGTTCAATTCTGGCCAAGGGCATGTTCCTTGGTTGTGGGCACATTCCCAGTAGGGGGTGTGCAGGAGGCAGCCGATCGATGTTTCTCTCTTGTCGATGTTTCTAGCTCTCTATCCCTCTCCCTTCCTCTCTGTAAAAAATCAATAAAATATATTTTTGAAAAAAAGAAAGAGCCAAGTTCTGGATTCAGAGCCCAGGGGGAAGGACTGGTTTTGATACATCACTTAACCCCCTCCCCTCTCCCAACCTCAGTCTCCTCCTCTGTAAAGTGGGCAGCCTCACTTAGCTCATCTCCAACTTCCTCTCAGATACTAAAAGCTCCCTCGCCCTGTGCTACGGGTTCTTAGCCCCAGGGCACGGCCCTCCCCCCCGCAGGGAGATGCAGGTCCTGTTTCAAGGACAGATATAGAAGACATCGATTCTGGTCTCCTCCCCCAACACAGCCATGCCCTGTGCAGGGGCAGGTGGTGGAGCTAGTTCTCTAGGCCTCAGTGTCTCCACCTGCACCAAAGTCAGTTCCGACCTTTCCAGTACTGGTCACCTGTGAACCCCATTCCAGGAGGAAACATATTAAAGCATGCTTTCAGGCCACCAGATTTGATCTCTGTATAGATCAGTTTTTTATAAAATATTTGTTTATTGATTTCAGAGAGGGAGGGAGAGGAAGAAAGAGAGAGAGAAACATCATTGATGAGAGAGTCATCGATTGGCGCGCGCGCGCACACACACACACACACACACACACCAACCAGGGATCAAGCCTGCAACCGGAACATGTAACCATGTAGCTGGGAATCGAACAGTGACCTCTTGGTTTATGGGTGGGTGCTCAGTCGCGGAGCACACCCGCCGGGTGTTACTGTGCCTTTTAAAGGAGCACTGCATCGTCCCCACAGCTTGCCACGGAGGTTCCTCTCCGGGGGACATGGTCCCCCTTTGGCAGGGCTACGGTTTCCTTCTGTTGGAAAACCTACCAGTGAGGAAAACATCAGCACAGGGTGTATTTCTCTCCTCTCATGTGAGCTATGCAGATTCCCCCACTTCTGTCCCGGGATGAGACCCAGCCGGCCCTGGGCAGAGCCCCCGACTTGGTTCTTGGTTAACGAGAGTGTCTCCTCATAGGTCAGGGCAGTTTCTGGGCACTTGGCAAGGGCTGCCCTTCGGGTGAGTCCAGCCACTGAGTGCGAATAGGTATGTCTCCTCAGCCTCCTCCCCTCCCTCCTCCCCCTCCCCCTCCCAGGGGCATCAAGCTTGGCTACAGTGTTTTCTGGCTGTCTTTTCTGGGGGAAGGAATGTCTGACTGTGTGTCCCTGTCTGCCTGTTGTTCAGAAAGCCAAGCTCGGCCCCGCTGGGAACAGAGCGTACGGCCCCTCGCCGGACAGGAGACTTTCCAACAACCTGGACCGCGTGAAGCTCACCGACTTCAACTTCCTCATGGTGCTGGGAAAGGGCAGTTTTGGGAAGGTAAGAAGGGGGGCCCGCCCGTGCCACGCAGCCGGGCCTTCGCTCCGCGTGCCGGGTCAGCTGGTACTCCTGGCATTTCCGGAGCAGCCTTGCAGGTTCCCCGCTGCCTGCGCCTGCGTCTCAGGTGCTTCCCACCTCATTTCGTTACCAACAACTGCATCTGAATGGTGTTGGCCGAGTGGATAACTTTCACGCCTGGAAATGACACGTTGACTTGTAGAGAGTGAGTGGAATTACCGCGAGATTCTGAGCTGGGCGTCTTCCGCCCAGGTGTCTGCATTTAGCTTTTGTGGCCCCAGATCTCACCCTAAGTGTAGGACCTCATTGCCGTCCTGCCTGCTTCTCTGTCTTGGCTCCAGGCTCATGAGAAGCTTCTGGAAGTCAGGCACTGTTTTGCCCTCAGGATGCTCCTGGGACATGGCACAGTCCCACCCCAGCGCTGATGATGCTGCCGCCTATTCCTATGAGCAGCCACAACAGCGCCATCGTGTGGTGACAGCCTGCACAGTGTGCAAGTCTCGCCGTCTTAAAAAAAAAACACAACAGCGTGCAGTGCGGGAGGGATTTATTGGCAGCGACCTGCGATGTTTCATAGTTTGCACATCAAGTGGAACTTTAGGAACACTTTCACGTCCCACGTGCCCACAGCTGCACGCCCTGCCTCACTGACCCGGCTGCCCGCTGCGCTCCCCCCCGCACCTGAGGAAGGCCCAGCCGGTCTCAGGTGGCCCCTCCTCTGCTCCCAGGTGATGCTGGCCGACAGGAAGGGCACGGAAGAGCTCTACGCCATCAAGATCCTGAAGAAGGACGTGGTGATCCAGGACGACGACGTGGAGTGCACCATGGTGGAAAAGCGCGTGCTGGCCCTGCTGGACAAGCCCCCGTTCCTGACGCAGCTGCACTCCTGCTTCCAGACCGTGGTAAGGGCCCAGCACACCGCGCCCTCAGGCCGCCCCGGCCCCGGCACTGCCCTGCTCCCGCTCCTGCCGCTTTTACAGAGAAGGTTGGAGGCACTGCCCTGCTCCCGCTCCTGCCGCTTTTACAGAGAAGGTTGGAGGCTGCTCAGCCCTGAACCTCCCCCGCCCAGCAGAGGGGGCTTTTGCAGAAAAGGTTGGAGCCCACTCAGCCCTGAGCCCTCCCCGCTCGGCAGAGGGGACCGGGGACCGCCTCTCCGCCCAACGCCCCTGCCAATTCGGAGCGTCCCCTCCTGGTGGTGTGCCCTACTTAGAGACTTGGCATCCATTCCATTGAATTCAGCAAACGTTTGCATCCAAGGTTTTTTGTTTTTTTTTTCCCCTGCAGGGCAGTGGCTGGAACTTAGAGACGGAACCACAATAACATAGCGCAGGGTGCTGGCTCGGTAACAGGCCAGCTAGCCAGCTGCCAGGCGCTGCCCGGGGCCTGGAGGAGGCTCGGTTTTGTGAAACAGTGTGTTCCTTTTGGGTGTGTACAGCAGGGGTGGGCAATCAGGCCTGCGCTGTTCAGCCCGTGAGCTCTAAGGAAGGCTTAAGGAGCAATAAGGGTTCCATTTCGGGGCCGGGAGAGGTAGGTGGAGTCCAGGTGTCAGCACCATGAGACGCTTTCTCGGCGCACCACCAGGCCCAGGCGGTCACTGTCGTCCGTGGCCGCCTTCCTGCTATGAAGGCAGAGTTGGGTCGAGGCAAGACACGCACACAGCCTACAATATGGACTGTCTGGCCCTTTAAGGAGAACGTTTACTGAGCCCTGGCCTGTGGTGGAAGTAGGCAGAGGACAGAGACCATTCTGGAGCACTAATCACCCAGTGGCGGGGCCGGGGCCCTGGCGCGGTGCTCGCACTTGGCCTGCAAGAAATAGGAACTCGGCTGATACCGCTTTGGTTCAGAGGATAGAGTGTAGGCCTGCGGACTGAAAGGTCCCGGGTTCAATTCCGGTCAAGGGCATGTACCTTGGTTGCGGGCACATCCCCAGTAGAGGTGGTGCAGGAGGCAGCTGATTAATGATTCTCTCTCATTGATGTTTCTGACACTCTATCCCTCTGTAAAAAATCAATAAAATATATTTTTTTTAAAAGAAAGAAAGAAAAAGAAATAGGAACTCAGCGGTGGCACCCATTGGCATCATCCCCACCGCCCAGCTGCTCTGCTTATAAGACGGGGCTCAGTAATCAGTGGCTGTCACACTGCAGCATGGTGGTTACTGTTCCCTTCCTCCCTCGGCCAGAAATGGACTTTCTGTTTTCTGTCCGCCTTTAAAACTCTGTGGGGGGGGGGGGGGGGCCTTAAAGCTCTAGGATTTTAGACTCTTGGGGGGGCGCCCCCTTAAAGCTCTTGGGTTTTAGACTCTCATAATGGCAGTGCAGCCGCACAATATCAGACGCAGGGTGCAGAGCCAGGCGCAGCCATCATGTGCCAGCCCCGCGCCGGGGCCCGGGCCGGGCAGCTCCCCGCCCCCAACAGCCTCTGAGTAGCACTGAGCAGAGAGAGAGACAATGTGCGAGGAAGGGAGAGCCACGTCTTGAATCCCAGCCCGATCCCGTCACCCTGGTTACGCCGATTAAGCTCCAGAACGCTGCAAAGCAGAGAAATAAAGATGAAATTAGAGTTGGTAACGGCGAGGCTGGAGAAGGAAGCTCCCAGCGCCGTCTCCCGCCTCGCAGCAGCAGCTGCCTCATTTCTCCTTCCCTGGGCGGCACTTGAAGGTTTCACAACCTCTGAGACGGCCATGTTTTCTAGAAGAGAGAGCAGAGGTCAGCTGCCACCCGGGTGTGCTGTCCCTGCTACCCCCGCCCCGTCCCCTCTCTGTCCCAGCCCACCGCCCTCAGACACACGCACGTTTATTTGGTTCTGTGATGTGAGCCCTTCCCGGGGCCAGCGCTTAGCACACCAGTCACAGAGGCCATCAGAGCCACCCGGATGGGCACATCACGGATGCAAAGGAGCTCTGGATTCGCCTCCGCTGGCGGCCCCTCCCCCACAGCGAGTGTGGTTGAGCATTGACAGTGCATACCCCTGTCTCACGGGGTTTGTTCTCGGAAGCACCCGGTTTATCCTGAGACCTATTGTATTACCGCATTGCTCCCGCACGCCTCTTCGACAGTGCAAAGCGGAAACACTGGTTGAAACTAAGTAATTGGCCCCCTCACTTAGGACGGTATTCCGAGTGTAGGAGCCAAGGGTAGGCCATTTGAGGCCATGACTGTCACGGGGAGCATGCATGACCAGAGGGGCCGTGACTTCTGGGTTAGGGACTGACCGCCTCCCCAGGGCCCTCGCGCAGTAGGTCCCGGCGGGAAAAGACGGGTCGCAGGGCCGCCCTGAGCAGACCCGTCAGCGAGGCCCACAGCCCCGCCCGGTCAGGGAAGGTGAGGGGCACCCTCCCCCCTCAGCTCACCTGTCGCCCTTGGCCCTCAGGACCGGCTGTACTTCGTCATGGAATACGTCAACGGCGGCGACCTCATGTACCACATTCAGCAAGTAGGGAAGTTTAAGGAGCCACAGGCAGTGTGAGTACCTTGTTTAAGTGCCTTCATTTAGACACACAGCGGCCCCCGCTGGGAACTCCTGGCTGGGTGAGAGATGCAGGTGGGCTCTGCCCAGTTTGGGGGGGCCGTCAGTTCGGGGGGGCGGGCAGGTTTATTGGTGGGGTCCATTTCTGTGTGTCCTAAGGAGAGGTTTACGTACTTCTTGTACACCTGGGTGCTGGCGTGTCCACCCTGGTTGGTTGGCACAGCCCCTCGGCTGCTGGGCTCATGGTTATGCACACCCACCACGCCCCAGGCAGCGGGACGGTGGAGGACCGAGCAGCCCCGGCCCCTGGGAGCTCACCCTCTGGCCCGGAGTGGGAGGACTCACTCGACAATTGTAAGAGTTGCTATAACATTAAAGGTGGCACAGGACACCATGCAGCCCCCCAAAAAGTGGAGAGTGAGGGAAGAGCATCCTGGGGGCTGCCTGTCCCAGAGGCTCAGGATGTGGAGGGGCAGTGGGTGGATACTCCGGGTGACACGTCCAGTGGGTGCCTGGCCAGGGAATGGGAAGGTAGGTCTGGCCAAGAGCAGAGGGGAGACGGGGGTGCGGTGTGGCTGGTGAAATCTGTGAAGAGCAGGGAGAACAACGCGGGGGGACTCGTGTCTTCTGGAGGGAGAGAGCCAGACATGGCGACTATGGGGGTGAGCAGGGAGAAGCCTCTTTGTGTGACGCCCCATTTTAGGGGGGGGGGCAGGGCAGCCAGCCAGGAGGAGGGGTTTGGGGGAGAATCAGGAGCTCCGTTTGGGAGGTTTCACTGGGATGCGCCTTGGATGCCGGGATGAGCCTCAGCCACACAGGAGACAGACCTGGCTCCGGGGAGAGACGGAGAGCCTTCCGTCCAGAGGGCGGGCGTGGGTGCCTGAGAAATCACCCCCTTTCTCGGAGCCAGGAGGTCCCGGGCAACACATGGGAGCAAAGCTGGACACACGGGGCTTCTTTCCCCTCTGCTGCGAGGTGCCATGTGTCCCAAGGGACACGTGTCTGTGGGATTCTGGCCGACGTTCAGAGCAGAACTGAGTCGGAGATGCTGCCTGTGTGCGGGGTCTGCCCTGGGCCAGGTGGCCAGGCCGCGGGGGAAGTCCGCTAGCGAGCGTGGGAAACGTGCAGGCGGGTTTCCTGCCCTTCAGTTTTCAGAAACGCCTGCCCTCATCCCCTGGCTCGTGTTGCCCGTCAAAAAGCCTTAGCGTGCCCGGATTTGTCGAGGGAAGCCGGGCTGAAGAGCATGGAGCAGAATGGCCACCCTGTGTTACAAAGTGACATAAAGGGCCAGACCCCTTTCGTTGTATTTGTGTTGCCAGGAAGGTTTTATGTTTAAAAAGATAGAAAGCATGAAAAATATTGTCCAAGCCGCCTATAATCCGTCTCCTATTTCTCTCCGATCTCTCCCTGCTCCCACCTGCCCTCAGAGGTGCTCGCCTCCCCAACACACATGCACACACACACACGCACACACACACACACCCCGGGGAAGGGTTTGGTCCTTATGGTCGGGGTTCAGGCTCACGCAGACATCTGTGCTCACCTGGGCCTCCTGGTACAGAATGCACAGGCAGTGTGCTGAGGCTCCTCAGACTCCAGATTCCCAAATACGACACCAATTTAGCAAACGTCTCCCAGCGTTTATCCTGAGTGTCAGACACGAACCTGCGAGCGGTCTTGACGTGACGGCAGTCACTGCTTTCTATCCTGAGTCACTGAGGAGGGTAAACTCGGGCGTGAGTCACGGCGTGTGTCCCATTCATCCCTGCGCTCGGGGCAGAGGTGGGTGAGGAACCCGCTCAGGAGCTCGTCCCACACCACGCTTTGTCTTCCAGGAATGACGGTGTGTTTAACGCTAGTGCATTCTGTCCAAGAGGAGGAACGTGGAAATCAGCCCTGCCATAGTCCTGGCATAGAGCCACTCTTAAAAAAATAAAATAAATAAAATAAATAAAATATAAAAAAAATAAAAAATAATAAAAAATAAAAAATAAACAATAAATTAAAAAAAATATATATATATATATATATATATATATATATATATTTTTTTTTTTTTTTTTTTTTTCAGAGAAAGGAAGGGAGAGGGAAAGAGAGAACCATCAATGATGAGGGAGAATCATGGATCAGCTGCCTCCTACACGCCCCCTACTGGGGATCAAGCCCACAACCCAGGCATGTGCCCTGAATGGCATCGAAACCCTGGCCTTCCTGGTTCATGGATTGCCTCTCAACCACTAAGTCATACCATCTGGGCTAACAGCCACTCTTTACAAGATTGTATTAGGGCCCCAGCCGGTGTGGCTCAGTGGTTAAGTGTCGACCCGTGAACCAGGAGGTCAGGGTTCAATTCCCGGGCAGGGCACATGCCCGGGTTGCTAACTCGATCTTCAGAGTAGGCTGTGCAGGAAGCAGCCGATCCATGATTCTCTCTCATTGTTGATGTTTCTATCTCTCCCTCCCTCTCAGAAATTCAAGTACATTTTTTTTTAAATGTTTTTGGACAACGATTGTATTAGGAAATTCTCCTGTAAGTTACCTGTCCACTTGCCCCAGACGAGACGTGCTTGTTTCTGGGCGGGAGCTAAGCCCCTCTTGTTGTTTTAGTAGCTGTATGGTTTGTAGGGGAAGTTGATCGATGCGTGGCAGAGGAAAGGGTGGGGGCGGGAAGAGCGAGCAGGGGGAGTGGGGGGGGGGGTGCTAACCTCTGACAGCCGGGTTGTGCATCCTCACTTTCCCGGCGTCGGAACGGGGCAGGATGGGGACCGAGCCTCTGGGAGTCGAGAGGAGCCTGACCAGCTCTCTCTCTTGCAGATTCTATGCAGCAGAGATTTCCATCGGGCTCTTCTTCCTTCATAAAAGAGGCATCATTTACAGGTGCGTGGCAGAACTCACACCCTCCGGGCAGTCGAGCATTTGGCTGGACCCTGGGTCTCCGTGGGCGAGTAATTCTGGGAGGGGACTATAACCCCCGAGGCAACAGACACCTGCTGGGACCCTCCAGGCGATCGGAGCCACCTTCTGATCTCGGGACCTCACATATCCATCTCCTTTCTGCTTCCCACAAAAAAATAAAAAATAAAAAACACATGCTTTTCTCTCCACCAGCCACTCCCACCTGCCTCTGCCTTGGATGCGGGAGGGAGGTCAGGGAGCAGTAGAAACAGGGTTTCTGTAAGATGCTCAGCTGGATGAGGACATGGGGAAGAGGGGGAGAGGGGCCAGGGAAACGGTCCTTAATTAAATCCTTCTGGTCGTCAGCTGTCAGGAAGGCCTGGTGCCAACTGGAGAAGAAGGTCTCCCAGCACTGAGTGGAGAGAGAGAGGAAGGACCTGTGGCCCTAGGCCAGCGGTTCTCAACCTTCCTAACGCCGCAGCCCTTTAACACAGTTCCTCATGTTGTGGTGACCCCCAACCATAACATAGTTTTTGTTGCTACTTCATAACTGTCATTTTGCTACTGCTATGAATCATAATGTAAATATCTGTATTTTCCGATGGTATCAGGTGACCCACAGATTGAGTGCCGCTACTGTAGAGCCTAAGACCATTGGAAAACACAGACATTTACATTACGATTCATAACAATAGCACAATGACAGTTATGAAGTAGCAACAAAAACTATGTTATGGTTGGGGGTCACCACAACATGAGGAACTGTGTTCAAGGGCCGGGGCATTAGGAAGGTTGAGAACCACTGCCCTGAGCAGAAGAGGGACCTGTGTGGGACCCGTGGGGTGGCTCTGTACCTGTGGTCTGCACACCTGGTTTGGGGTCAGGCCCCTCGGTGTGGGAGGCACCTAAATCGGACGGCTGGCTGGTCCCACGTCTGCTAACTCGGAATCTCTGGTGATCCCCTTGGGCAGCCATGGTTGGGGACTCGCTAATTCGGCCATTCAGTCATTCACCCGACACCCATCCACTGAGAACCTCCTGTGTCCCGGGCACTGTGTTAGGCTCCGGAGGTGAAAAAATAGCATTTCCTGGTCCCAGCTCCCCGGGTACTTGTAGTTCACGCCCCGCTGAGGCGGCAGCTCGTCAGACGTGTGCCTCACCAGCTGCTGAGCGAACCGCGCTCCCTCCGCACGCCGCTGGCAGGCGCTGACGCTGTGCCGCTTCCCCGCAGGGACCTGAAGTTAGACAATGTCATGCTGGACTCGGAGGGGCACATCAAGATCGCCGACTTCGGGATGTGCAAGGAGCACATGATGGATGGCGTCACGACCAGAACCTTCTGTGGGACCCCAGATTACATCGCCCCAGAGGTAGGGGATCCCCCCCCCCCAATTCTCCTTGTTGCCTAGACCAGAGCCTTCAAACTGCAGCCGCTGCTCCCTCCTGGGCTGCGCAGCCCTTCTCCAGTCACTGAGTGGGCCTGTGGGGGCAGAACGCGCTGAACAGCAAAACGGGAGACAGAAATACGCACGCCCGTGCCACCTCCACAGTGCACGCCTCGCTTTCTGGATCTTTGCTCTCCCGTGAGCACACATAAGCCAGCTGCACGGTAAAATGGTCCCAACAGCTGGAGAAGCTGGGCAGGGAAGGAGGGCTCTGGCTTGTCAGAAGGTTCTTCGGGGGAAAACTGCATCAGAAGGAGGTTCCAGTCATGGCTTTTTCGGGAAATCAGAGTGATTGGCGCTGAAAGGTCACACTGGCGTTGACCGCGGTGTTTATTCTGTGTGGTTCTGAGCAAAGTGGTTCTGAGGCACTTACCTAGGTTGTGGGAGGCAACTAATTGATGTTTCTCTTGCACATTGATGTTTCTCTCTCTCTCTCTCTCCCTCCCTCCCTCCCTCCCTCCCTCCCTCCCTCCCTCCCTCCCTCCCACTCTCTCTACTTCCCTTCTTTCCTCCTTCTCTTCCCTCTAAAACCAATAAACATATCCTCAGGTGAAGGTTTAAAAAAAAATCTAAAACACTGTTAAAAATAGGTCACAGGGACTGCTTTTAATATATCAATAGTTATATGAACAGATTTCATTCATGTACTTTTCAAATATAGATGCTAAAGTGAAATAATGATTTCAAAACTCCTTAATCCTCAAAGCCCTTTGATGAATATTTTATTGGTCCCAGTAGGAGTGATTACATATCTTCGAAAGCTTCAAATCATATTTTTAAGACAAATCTGTCGCTATTCTGAGCACCACCTGTTAGCTGATGGGCTTCTGGCAAGTCTCCCAAACGCTTGCTCCTCTGTTTTCTCGCCTCTAAAATGGGAACAACGATCATTTCTGTCCCATCGGGTTATATAAAATGTGTTTGAGCATCGGGCGGATGGCAGGTGCTCGGCAGGCGTACTTTTCTGTGCTTCTACTTGGTCAGGGGTCTCCTGTCTGGGCCCTGGAGGGACATTATTTCAGGTCACTGGGTAATACATTAGAGACTCACTTTGGTTGGGTTTTTTAGTGCTTCTGTATGTGTCTTTTCCAAGTTTTCAGAAAAGAACAAATGCCCTTTTAAAAGCAATGACGACCTCCTTGTGGGCCCCTTTGTGGGTCGTGTTCTTGTCGGGGAAATGGGCCACAGAGCCACCGAATCCAAACCCGGGCCCTCTCGTCGTCGCCTGCGCTGAAGTGAGCCACGGGCGTGCCTCGCATCCCACCGGGAGACATGGCAGCGCTGCCTTAAAGCAACGGGGCTGGGCAGACAGGCAGGGAGCGTGTCTACGTCCCCGGTCACTTAATTAGACATAGTGTGCCAATAAAAAAGTACGTGGGCCGGCAGGCATAGCTCGGTGGTTGAGCATCGACCTGTGAACCAGGAGGTCACGGTTCAATCCCTGGTCAGGGCACATGCCAGGATTGCGGGCTCCATCCCCAGTATGGGGGCACGCAGGAGGCAGCCGATCAATGATTCTCTGTGATCATTGATGCTTCTGTCTCTTTCTTCCTCTCGCTTCCTCTCTGAAATCAATAAAAATATATTTTTTTAAAATACCTTGGGCCCTAGCTGGTTTGACTCAGTGGATAGAGTGTCAGGGGCACGTGCCCAGGTTGCTTGCTTGGTCCCTAGTAAAGGGCGTGCAGGGAGCAGCCAACCAATGATTCTCTTTTATCATTGATGTTTCTCTTTCTCCTCCCTCTCCCTTCCTCTCTGAAATAAATAAAAATATATTTAAAAACACCCTGGAACATTTCTAAGTCAAATTCGCATGCTAAGTGGCAGGACGGTCCTGCCGAGGGCCTGTTAGTGTGTCTTCACCGGGAATCCCCAGCGTGATGATGGGCCTGGGGGTTGTGTGTTAGGTGCGCAGCCTGCCTGCGAGGCAGCGAAGCCAGTGTTAGGACACCAATCACCACACCATCCATCCTGCCTAACAGGTCAGCTATCACCTCTTAGCGTCACCTGCTAGCAGGACCACATTTAACTGTTCCCACTTCCTTTTTTACAGTTGGCTGGTTAGAATTAAGCTCGGACAAGGTCCGCATATTACATGTTATGTCTCTTTTAAAGCATTTTGAAACTCGTGTCATTCAGCAGCTCTCATTGTACCTCTGTGAGCAACACAAAACTAGAAATTTTACTTTCGTCATTCCTCCTTCCCTTTTTCTTTTTTATGCTGATGATTATCATCATCTTCTTCTTTATTACTCTTAATGAAATATTGTTACTTCGTTTGGTTATCTTATTGATGAGACTCAAGCTTTGAATGACCTCTGCTTTTTCCAAAAATTAAACCCACTTCAGTGCCTAGACACGTTCCCCTAATGAGGATAGTTAAATCGACCTCAGACGGCGCTGTGGCGTCTTGGGGGGATTCGGGAGACGAGTTCCAGTCGGGATTGAGACGGTGAATGGAGGGGTGACAGTTCTTGGCGTGCCCAATTGGAGGGGCGTTCTTCCCTTGGTGTAGGAATCAAAGATGAGTTATCACCCCCTCGTTTGCAAACCGTGAGAATGCCCACGTGCCTGACTTACCTGTCCTAACGCGGGCTTTTTGACTTGACACTGAATGTAACCGATGTGTTTGTTTTCTCACAGATAATCGCTTATCAGCCGTACGGGAAGTCTGTGGACTGGTGGGCCTATGGCGTCCTGTTATATGAAATGCTGGCTGGGCAGGTAACGTTTCCCTGTGTTTTCATGCTTGTTTATCGCCATCCAATGCCAACACTTTTGCTCCGCGGGGGCCGAGATAGCAGGACCCGGCAGTGCGGCAGGACATGACTGGGCTGGCTCCCTGGCCTGGGTGAAATTGTATTCAGTGTGTACAGAAATTCTCTTCCGATCACAAAACCCAAATTGAAGGCCGCTTCCTGGAGAAGAGACAGGGTACGGCCGTCGCCTTACGCACAAAAGCCCCCTGCGTGCTGGTGACAACATAGCCCCTGAGTTTTGGTGGCTCGACGCTGGGGTAGGTCCCCGCGAGCTCATCTGCAGAAACCACTGGTGCTGCTGTGCGTACCCGCTGTCCCTGAAGCATGTAATGGCTCCATGCGTCTCCGCTCATCTCACCATTGGCAGCTCATTATAATGCCTGCGAAAGTCCAATGAGGCTGGACGTCCAGCTAAGAAAAGGCACATGTGGTCCCCCGTGGGAATGCACATCGAGCTGATAATCGCGTGTGTCTTAAGGAGGCAAGTCGCTTATCTCTGGACAACCAGCTAGGAGGAGGTGGAGCTGGAATTCTGGTTTATGTCTGCCTGGCTCCAAAGCCAGGGCCTCCCACAGAGCCTCCCTCTCTACACAGGGGCTGCAAACGGGAGGTGTCGGGTGGAGCTGAGCTCCTGTCACCGCCTCCACGCGGGGGGCAGCTCTGTGTTGGGTCCGAGGGGCCCTGATGTGCATTCCGGACCCAAGCAAGTCCTCTTTGCCCAGGTTCTGAGATCCCCGTCAGAATCCAAGGGCATTAGCATCCTCCACCACCACCCCATTCTCTGAACACACAGCTGTCTATAACCTAACTGGGTCATAATTCCATTTTAACACATAATTGCAAGATTAATGGATTAATTATCATTTATTTGAAAAAAAATCAAAGCATTACTCAGAAACACTTTCCTCAAAGATTGCTTTGGGTTGCCCAGGGAGATCATTAGAGGAGCCGAGGAAAGCATACACCTGCGAGCGAACGAAAGCTGGGCTCATGTTGGCCCCTGGGGCACTGCCTTCCTCAACGACCTGCCTGAGTATTTCTCCATCTTTCTCTCTCCCGGAACAGCCTCCGTTCGACGGTGAGGATGAGGACGAGCTCTTCCAGTCCATAATGGAGCACAACGTTTCTTACCCCAAATCCCTGTCCAAGGAGGCCGTCTCCATCTGCAAGGGAGTAAGTGAACGGGGTTCCTTTTACGATGGCAGACGCGAAGGGCGGACGGGAGCTCTTTCCCACACGTCTCAGCAAGCGGGCGCAGGGACCCTGCGGCTGCCCCCCGCCTTCCCGGGCGAGAGCCTGGTGACCTGCGGGGCGTGGTGGGCAAAGCGGAGCCTGGGACACGGGTTGGCACCCCAACACCTCCCGAAACTCAGTGGCTTTAGTTTGCCATCCTTCCCCCCGCCCCCCATGAAGTTGTGGGGCGGTGTAGCAAGTGATCAAGGACCCTTAGAACGCGTTAGTTCTCCTCCGCACACCACGGTTAGTGCTGAGTCCATTCCTCTGTTGTTGAGATGTAATACGCCTGTAGAAAAGGGCGCCGTCATCAGTGTGCAGCCAGCGAATGGTCACAAAATGGACACGCGTGCCCAGCACCTCGAGAGCTGCCCCTGTCCCGCCCGGCAGTCACACACACACACACACACACACACACACACTGTCACTGCATGCCCTCACTGTGCCTGTTTTGAACTTTGCACACATGGGTCTTGCCGTGGATGCTCCCTGGGTCTGGCTTTTCCCCTGACCTTGCGATGGCGAGATCTCTCCACGCTGCTGGGCGCGGTGGAAGCCCGTCTTCCTCTTGGCTGTGGGGTATTCCGTTGGGCGCATGTGCCGCTCTCTGTGTGTGCACTCTGCTGGTGGGCGCTCGGTCGGCCGCTCTCTGGTGAGGGGCTGTTACAGATGCACTGCCATGAGCCTTCTGGGTCGTGGGTTTTGAGGAGCATGTAAATGAAATCTTCTGCTTACTTATTCAATTTGATTAAGGAACAGTCCTATGTAGTAAAAGGCTCATATGCAAATCAACTGAATGGCGGAACGACCGGTCACTAGAACGCGCACTGAACACCAGGGGGCAGACGTTCAATGCAGGAGCTGCCCCTTGGTGGTCAGTGCGCTCCCACAGGGGGAGTGCCTCTCAGCCAGAAGCCAGGGTCACGGCTGGCAAGCACAGCAGTGGTGGTGGGAGCCTCTCCCACCTCTGGGGCAGCACTGAGGACCCCTCGGGGGATGTCCGACTGCTGGCTTAGGCCCAGTGCAGGCCGAGCTGAGGGACCCCCCCCCCTCCAGTGCACAAATGTCATGCACCGGGCCTCTAGAAAACAAATAAAATTGTAATATATTTAAAGTGTACAGCAGGATGCGGTGATAGATGTATGCACTGGCCATTTGTATCCACGGGTTCTGCATCTGTGGATTCAACCAACCACAGATGGAACATATTTCTTCAAAAAAGTGATATGATTGCTGACATGTACCATGGAAGGAGGCCTACGATGGCTGTGTCTATGCTGAACATACACAGACTTTTTTTTCTTGTCATTATTCCCTACAATACAGTGTAACTGCTATTTAGATGGCATTCACATTGTATCAGGTGTCAGTAACTGGGGGATGATTTAAACTATATGGGGGAATGTGTGCAGGTTATATGCAGACACTGCGCCTTTTCTATGAGCATCCGTGGATTTTGGTATCCACGAGGGGTCCTCGAGCTAATCCCCGTGGACACGGAGGGATGACGGCACCTTATGAGAGGAACCCCACGGTCACGCTAGCTCATCCATCACCTCACGGAGCCCCGCTTTTTCCTTCTGTGGAGAGAGAACCCTTGAGTCTTCTCTCCCGGCACGTTTCAGTCGTACAGCACATCCTATCAACTGCAGTCCCAGGTCACGCATCCGACCCTCTCTCCTGCCTTCCAGCTGATGACCAAGCACCCGGGCAAGCGGCTGGGCTGCGGGCCCGAGGGCGAGCGGGACGTGCGCGAACACGCCTTCTTCCGGAGGATCGACTGGGAGAAGCTGGAGAACAGGGAGATCCAGCCGCCCTTCAAGCCCAAAGTGGTGAGTCGGGGCGCCTCCACTTTCTGGGCCCCGGTCCCCCAAATCCTGTGGGTCCCACCCACCCTTTTCCCCGAGCGAGGATGGCAGCGACCTCGGGATGCTGCAGGCGGAAATGGCCAGTGCCCGCCTTGCCCTCCGCTCTGTGTCTGAGCCCCCAGCATTCCTGCTGGCTTTGGGAGTCAGGACAGATGGGCAGCGAGGGGAGCCTGTGTCTACCGTGCACTGCAGCAGTGCGATGGCCAAGCAGCCCCAGAGGCGGTAGAGAGCCGGGCAGGGCTGCTTGGTTTGATGTCATGGTCTGTGTTCCTTGCTGAGAGGCCTCGGCGGACTTCTCCGCGGCTCCGGTTGTCCTGGGCTTGCCTGGCACCCGGAGCAGAACCTGTGGGCAGGCCCTGGGCGCCGGTCTCCCATTGGCCGCTGCCCCTGCTGCAAGGGGTGTATCAGCCACCATGTTTGGTGTCGCCATCTTTATTCAGACTCTTCCTATAGGGCCCCCACTCTCTCCATTTATTTAACGAACACAACGCCCAGGCCCTGTCCTGAGGGCTTTACACAGTCGTTCATTTAACCCTGAAGGTGGGTACTGTCGCTCCCAATAACCGTTGAGGAAACTGAGGCTCAGAGAGGCTGAGTGACTTGCCTGAGGACACACAGCTGGCAGGTGGTAGAACGAGGGTTGGGACTCTGTGTTCTGGCTCCTAGATCCGTGTCCTCCCCCACCACACCCCTCCCTCCCCGCTCCGCCTCGAGGGCTGCCCCCAATGCGAGCGGCGCCTGCTCCTGCCTTTCTGAATGTTCCTGTCTCTGGAGGTAAAGTGCCTCCAGGCCTCCTCGCTCCTGCACTGCCACGTTGCAGGGCCTCCAAGGAGGCTGTCTCTGCACCCGTGTCTGAAGCCGGGTGGGTCCGTGCCGCAGCTCGGTGGGCACCTCCGCCAGCGATGCTGACAGGCGGCATGATGGCACAGGCGCCTCTGCTGGCGGTGCAGACAGGCGGCATGATGGCACAGTCGGTTTCAGAGGCGGTCCTGGTGCTGGCTCGGCCCAGATCTGCCTCCAGACGGGTGCCCCCGGATCAGGCCGAGGGGGCCCTCCGGGTGGCTGGGTTACTGAGTGGAAGGCACACGGCTTCCTCGTCGAACGTGCTCATGCGCCCTCCACCCCAAGAACAAAGCCGCGGGCAGCCAGTGGGTTTATGGTGCCGAGGCATTGTTAGCACGAACTGGAGAAACACTGACATTCATGAGGTCAGTGCCTGTCTCCTGAGTCATCATCTCAGGTGGGAGCCTTATGCACCTGCCGCCCCACCTCCTCCCCAGCCAGTCCCAGGTCTCGGGGTCTCCAGGCGCCCTGAGCTCCAGGTCGCAGAGCCTGGTCTGAAGGGGGCAGGGGATGAGGACAGCGAGGAGGGATGCTGGGGGCTGTCTCAGCAGAACCCTGTTGGGGGTTTTCCTTTGTCCCTTTCACCATTACCTACCCCATGACATGGAACATGAAAGGTGCACCCTCACGTCGCACCCGCAGCCTCGTTCCTACAGGGCAATGTAGACACTTGCTGCCCCAGCTCGAGGTGTCAGCAAAACCCCTTCCCAGAACAAGCCGAAACACAGCCAGGCCCTCACACACACCTCTCAGTCCCCACCTCGCTGTCCGAGGACAGTGCTGGTTCGCAGGGGCTTTCGCCTTCCTGGGTGTTCGGCCCTGGACTCGACCTTGGGGAAGAGAGAACATAACTGGCGAGGCAGCCAGGAGTGCCGGGGCCCCAGGGCCGTGGAAATCACTGGGTGTGTAGTCCGGCAGTGGAGCCGCAGGCAGTGTGTGTGTGTGTGTGTGTGTGTGTGTGTTCATTCCTGAGGCCCTGCTGTCTGTTCGGTTTCTAACCGAGTGCCCGTTAAAATAAAAAGCCAGTCACCTCTGGCTGTGAAGGGACGGCCCAGAACTCACCAACGGGAGCAGAAAGCATGGCCAAGACCCCGACACTGACGGCTTTGATGGAAAGGCCTGTTTGGCGAGAGCCCTGGCCAGAAGGAAGAAAGAGACCTTACACGCTCACAGCGGATTCCTCAGGCAAGGGCCTAGTAAGACCTGAGCCCCCTCGGTTACCCAGGGGCTGCTGGGGTCGTTGTTGTGCTCCTAAGCTCAGAAGTCTTGTCTTCCTTATATTTGTTATTTTTGAACCTCCAAAGAGAGATGACCCCAAACCCCTGACTTCCCAAAGCGAGCGGAGAATTCTGTCACTGCACCACACAGAGCTCATCGGAGGACCCGGTTTCCTCCGTGCTCCGTCTTCCTTCATTTTCCTGCCGGCCACAGGGACATGGCTGACATGAGGCCCGGGGGCCCCTCGAAGGCGGATCCCCCCGACAGGACAGGGACACGTCACGCCGAGTGGGATCCATCCAGAGGCCCTAGGCAGGACTTTCGATGGTGTGGCCGCGGCCTGGATTCTCTCTCTTTAAAAAAAAAAAAAAAAAAAAATGGTTTTTAAATTGATTTTTAGAAAGAGAGGAAGGAAGGAGAGAAAGAAACATAGATGTGAGAGCAACATTGATCAGCTGCCTCCTGCACACCCCTCACCAGGGACAGGGCCCACAACCCAGGCCCGTGCCCTGACCAGGAATCGAGCTGGCCACCGCCCGCCCTGTGCATAGGATGGTGGGCAACCGCCTGGGCCTGGATTCTCTCTGAGGCGGAGCAGAGGGAGGGAGTGACCGAGTCAGGTGAGGAACGGTGGGCATCTCCCCTGAGACTGGCTGGTCTGGAGCTCACACGGAGGCACAGGGGGGCCGTGGGGAATGAGGCTCGGCCAGAGGGACAGCCTGCACTGCGGCGGCCCATTGTGGGGAGGCCCGTGGGGAGGTGGCGGGGGAGGTGATTTTCTAGAGCAAGGGGTGATCGCTGTGACCTGGAGGTTTTGTACAAGAAAAGCAAGAACAGAAACAGCCGCTCTGCCCTCCTGGGTGTGAGGCCGCACAGAGCTCTCCCTCGCTGTGGAAAAAGCAACTGCAAGCCGCTCGCTTCCCTCCAAGAAACCCGGAGGGCCCCGGCCCCGGCCCCGGCCCCGGCCCCGGCCCGTCCGCTCAGCATTTGGCCGAGTTCCGAGCGAAAAGCCCGGAGTCATCAAAAACAGGCCCCATCAGACGGTCCCTCGGAAGGAGCTGCCTTTTTATTTTTAGGTTTAACGAAGAAGACACTCAGCAAAGGTGAATACTTCATTTCTGAAGGGGACACACACACACACACGTGCACACATGGGAGAGTCAGTGGCAAACCTAATGCCTCTTCACATCTGATGCCTAAAGCAAAGGGCATTCCAGGTGCCTATTCTGCCCCTGCCAGGGGAAGGGGATGGGGGCAGACAGCCCTGCGGGGCTGTCGGAGCCATCACACGGCTGCATCCAATCAGGAACGGGCAGCGGGAGGCGCATTGTCCCGGCCTCTCCGTGGAACCAGCAGCCCAGCAGCGGTGACACTAACTAAAGGTGAGCCCCGGACAGATGCGGGAGCTTCTCGGCACCATAGGAACACGCACAGCCATCAGGGCCAGAGGTTCGGCCACATTCTGATGCACAGAAGGCGCTCTGAAGCCTTCAACCAGCCTACGACAGCACTTTCTACTCGGTTAATTAGAGGCGAGAAGGCTTCCTTTCCCCGATAATTACCCTCCCACAGACGGTTCTGCTCGAAAGAGACACGGGAAGCAGGGTGGCCTTTAGAAGAAAGACCCACAGCGGCCACAGGTCTGGTACAAGCCTCCAGGAGCTCCCGCGGGAGTGGGCGAGCTGACAGGCTCCCAGTGTCACTGCGGTGGCCACTCCGGCAGCCTTTCTGGGAAAGGAGCCTGATCAGCTGGAGCCGGCCACTTGGGAAGGCCAGCCCAGCCGGCGGGCTGATGTTTAGCATCGACCTAAGAGCCAGGAGGTCACAGTTCGATTCCCAGTCCAGGCACTTGCCCAGGTTGTTGGCTTGATCGCCAGGGTAGGGCGTGCAGGAGGCAGCGATCCATGATTCTCTCATCATTGATGTTTCTGTCTCTCCTCCCTTCCTTTCTGAGATGAGTAAAAATATTTTTAAATGTCAACAATAAAGGAAGGCCAAATGGAGGGCATCCTGTCATTCCGTAGAACAAGCCCAGGCCCACGAGAACCCGCTCATTCACCGTGTGCCTCACAGCCTGTGTCCGCCAGCAAAACCGCGGCCTCCTGACCGGGCCTGGCCTTTCTGAGCGCGGCTCTGAGGCGACGGGGGAGGTGAACACGGTTCCGTTTGGTCTGAGAAGCCACAGCCTGGCTCGTCTCTCGCCACAGGTGACGGCAGCAGGTGAAGGAGGCCCCACCCCCTTTATAAAGTTACTCTCCGAACACCAGCTGCAGGTGGTGAACTAGACGGCTCAGCAGCAGGGAGGGTCCCAAAACAAAGACACTTGTCTCCCATCCGGGGCCACTAGCCTCAGGGTTCACGTCTGTTCCGTAACCTCCGGAAAGTGGTACACGCGCGTGCACCTACACCCACGTGGGGCCGCACCATGCCGCCTGGCTCGCACCTTATGGCTCTCAGGACAGCAGACCTCACAGGCGTCTCCACGGGTTTGTGGCATCCTGTACACACTGGGGTTCCGGGGACGGGCACTGACTGTTCCAAACGCTCTCCCTGTCCGTTCTTATTCTCCAGGCCTTCTGCACCAAAACACTCTGGCTGCAGTGGGCATCCCGGCCCTCGGTGAGCACACCTCACGTTCAGCCCTCGGCGCCTGCCCCTGCTTGCGCTGGCCGTGCACGGAAGACCCTCCCCGGAGCATGCTGGCCTTCTTAGAGAGGCCGGGCCAGGCTGCTGCCCCGTGGCCCTGCTCCCTCCTGGGTGGCTCCGTAGCGTGGATCTGACCTCCCGGGAGGCCCAAAGCAGACGGTGTCCACTCATCTCTGTTGTTTAATCCCATGGAGACGGCACCCACCCAGGGGCAGGGGCCACGCGCAGACATGGGAGCGTTCTTACTAACACTGCGTGCGCCGGGACCCGGCACGGGGCTGCGGGCTTGACATGTGAGCGCGGCTCCCCTAAGACCAAGCACATCCTGCTGCCTCGTAGTCGTCAGCCAGGGTCCCACCTGGTGCGTGTCCCTCCTCCTCCCCGTCGCTACACGCCTGTCCTCTCGGTTGGTTGCGTGCTCTTCCCGCTCTTCGGGGCTTTGTGTGGATTTGCTTGGAAATGGCAGTGTTTTCATGCTACTCACACTCCCGTGACCCTGCCGGGGACCCTGGGTTAGAGTCTCGTGCCCGGGCACCGAGGGGAAGGGCAGGGTCCTCACCCGGTGGCCTCTCCCAGGTCAGGACCGGAGCGAGGGGCCCGCCTCCACGGCCTCACCCACAATGCCAAGGGCGGAGAGTGGGCCGGGGGCCACCTGGGCCCTGACGGGGCATCAGGGGCCCAGGGTCGTATCTCTCTGTGCTTTGTCACAGCTCCCCAGGCCTAGCATCGCCTAGGTTCGTGTTAGTAATGGGTGATTTTACCAAATGGGTAGGAATGACAAGGCCAAAAAAAAAAAAAAAAAAAAAGCGAGGTCCCGAATATAGAGCTGAGGGGGAGGGGGAGCTGGCTCCTGGTGCTTGCTCACGCCTCGCAGGTGATCACACGCCTCTCACACGCCAGCACCTGCTCCCCGTGGTGCCTCCGCCCAGGTGGTGCCTCCCTCAGTCCCTTGGGTCCTCAGAGGCGTGCAGGGTGGACGTGCACGGCCTCCTCTGACCCTTACAGAGGTCCCCTCACGGCGTGTTGTCCGAAGCATTGCCCTGGGCTTTGGCACTCTGGTGGGTCCCTCGTCCCCCTGTGTCCCCCTCTTCCTGGTGTCAGATGTGGCCCACTGAGCACAGATGTCCTCTGGGCTCCAGCCCAGGGGCCAGAGGCTGGGCTGCTGAAAGGGAGGGCCCCTCGCCAGGAGTTTTGCCCACAAGTAGCAAATGCCGCCCTCCGCTTCTGCATGCTGTGCGGTGGCCGAGAGCCCTGAGCCCAGGGACCCCCAGGCCCACCGTGGTCACAACCGCGACAAAGGCTGCAACCACGGTAGCAGGTTCCCCAGCCCCAGTAGGGGTGAGTGTGGGAGGCAGCCAATGACTACGTCTCTCACAGTGATCTCTCTCTTTCCCTCCCTCCCTCCCTCCCTCTCTTCCCTCCTTCCCTTCCATTCTCTCTATAAATCAATGGGGGGAAATATCCTCAGGTGAGGATTAAAGAAAAAAGAAAAGAAAAGCGGGTGGTTGAAGGTCTGCTGCAGTATGACCTAGGGAGCGTGCCCATTCCCAGGCCAGTTTCTCGGGGGAGGGGGGAGGACTGGGTTCCCGGCATGAAGAGCCCCCTGTGGTGGGGAAATGAGCGCTGCTCCTCCCAGGGCGGAACGGCTGGTAAAAATAGCTGTGCCCGCGCCCCCCTCCCCGCCCCCGTGGGAGAACGTGGCGTCTTTCTGGTGTGACCCCCCTGAGGACAGCCACCCCCCCCTGTGTCCTCCATCTCCTCCGTCCTCGGGGTCCGCCTCCCGCTCTCCAGGCTTCCTCCGGGGGCACTCGAGGCACAGCCCGAGCCTCAGGTGCCCCGTCCCAGGCATCCTCACCGGAGGGAGCGGGTTTCCATCTGCCCACATCCTGTTTCTCCCTCTGGGATCAGGAGAACTCCACGGAGACTGGGAACTGGAGAGAGAAGGGAGCGGTGTGCGGGGGCGAGCAGCCCGGGGGCCTGCGGGCCGGCCCCGTGGGCGGTGATCCAGGGCAGAGCTCGGGTGGCCCGGCCCCTCCTTGCCCCAGGCGCCGTCCATGGTCCGTGGCCGGCGTGAGGCTTTCAGAAGTGGGGGTTTCTGCTCCAGGTGTGGCAGCACGTGGCCCCTAAGCGAGCCCTCAGGAGCGCCCTGCGCTGGGTGACGCTTTAGAATTTGATGCCCTGGACCAGGCGTCTTCAAACTACGGCCCGCGGGCCACATGCGGCCCGCAGAGGAGTCTGATCCGGCCCGCCAGGTTTTTTGGGCAGTGAGCGCAGCCGAGGTGTTACAGTAGGAATTAGTAGTTCATACAGTCCGGCCCTCCAGCTCTCTGAGGGACCGTGATCTGGCCCCCACTTTAAAAAGTTTGAGGACCCCTGCCCTGGACCGTCCGTCCCCTCCCCAGGCTTCTGCGTGGGCCGCCTTTTAGATCTTGGGAGCTCTTCCTTCAGTTGTGTGCGTGTGTGTGTGTGTGTGTGTGTGTGTGGATTTCAGAGAGAGAGGGAGAGAAATCAATGATGAGAGAATCATTGATCCGCTGTCTCCTGCACATCCCCTACTGGGGCGCAAGCCCGTGACCCAGGCAGGTGCCCTGCCGGGAATCAAGCCATGGCCCCCTGGCTGGTGGGTCAGTACTCCACCACGGAGCCCCACCCGCCGGTGGGCTTTCTCACTTCCTGTTCTGTGACGGCTAACGGCTGGCTTTGGACTTCTCTCTGGAAGAGGTTTGGTCCTCCAACGCTGCCAAGATGGTACTCACATGTCCACACAAGTCCAGAGCGAGTCAGGAGACCCCAGCCAGCAGAGGGACGTTCGATGCCCTGGACCGGCTGGCCTTCCTCTTCCTTTGAGAGACGTCCCCCTCCTTTCCGTCGTCCCAGGAGTGCCTCTTGCCCATCTCTGCCTGGTTAGTGAACAGCAAAAGGCCTGCAGGTGATTGCTCCTCCAGGGAGCATGGCCCCAGCCCCTGGAGACTCACTGAGCGGTGTCCATCGGCCAGGTTCCCAGAGGACGTTCTCCTTGAAGCCAGCTGGACAGTGGCTGGAACGCTCGCTGACAGCGCTTGCGCCGTGGGCTTTGCCGTTTGTCCCTTCTCTGCTCGCGGATGCCGTTCCTGCCTGATCTCCTTGTTTGAGCTCAAGCCCGCGTCCACCTGGCTCCGCCATCTTGGTGTCAGCGCTGCTGACATGTCAGACCAGGGTGTCTAACAGCACCCCTTGCCTCTGCCCACTAGAGGCCAGTGACACCCCCGGCCCGAGTCATGATAACCAAAAATGCATCCAGACATGGCCCAGCGACCCCAAAAAGGAGGTGGGGTGCGGAGTTGTCCCTGGTTGAGAACCTCTGGTCCATCCCAAGGAGGGCTGTTCCTCTAGCTGTTACCGCAGCTGCGTGTCTGCATGTGTGTCTCAGCCTCCACAGGGTGGCTCTGCTTGCCGCCCGTCTTCCCTGAGTGCCAGGGGGACCCAGAGGAGAGAAACATCCCCACAGACAGCCAGCAGGCTCTGCTCTGCATCCTCTGGGCACTCCAGCCTGAGGCCCCTGCACACAAACTCCATGTCGACCCATGGGCTGGCGGACCAGATCTATCCAGACAGGCGGAAGTCTGCCTGTGCCCTGGGGGTGTACCCATCCTTGCCTTCACCGGTCCCCCCTCATCCCCCTGCAGTGTGGGTCAGGGACGGGTCTAGGGGTTGAGCAGTTGGAAGACACGAGTCACAGCGCCTTTACTTCATTACAAATATGGTTACAGAGAAGCAGACGTGGAGCAGTAACCCCAGCCTCAGGGTCTAGGGGTCACTGCCTGCACCCCACCCATGTCCTGGCCTTTCACATGGAATCAAGACTGATGTGTGGGGGTGCAGGCCTCGCATGCGTATGTCTGTGCGTGTGTGTTCGCGCGCGCGCGATCCATGCTCAGGCCCTGCTTGCTCTGTAAGATGGACTTAAGCAGCGGCCCCCTTGGGTCACCTCACTGTCCACCGTGCACTTCTGCTGAGGGGTTCACTGTGGTCAGGGGGTGAAGACGCACACCTGAGCGAGGTGTTGGCTGTGCCTGGCTTTCCATCCAGCGGCCTGCAAGCCTCCGAGTTCTCCCGCCTAACCTGCCCGCCGCCCGGCGGCTCCTCCCTGCGCGGTGCCCTTCGCCCCCGCGCCCCGCGCGCTTACTGACCTCCCTCCCCTCCTCTCCTCTCCCTCCGCAGTGCGGCAAAGGCGCGGAAAACTTCGACAAGTTCTTCACCCGCGGGCAGCCCGTGCTCACGCCTCCCGATCAGCTGGTCATCGCTAACATCGACCAGGCCGACTTCGAAGGGTTCTCGTACGTCAACCCCCAGTTCGTGCACCCCATCTTACAGAGCCCCGTATGAAGCTCGCCTGCGACCACAAACGCCCCCCCCCGCCCCCGCCCCGCCCCACCCCTTCCCCGCCGCGGGACATGACCGCCACCCTGACACTGCGAGGCCCAGGCCTCCCTTCTCGTTCCAGACGGAGGCCAGCAAGACCCTCCGGTGGTTAGTCCACACGTGACCTCTCGGAGGTCAGGGCCTCTCTCTGAGAACCAAGAACCGTATCTTAGCGGAAGAGAACCAGAGCTCCGTGTCCAGTCTCATCATGGTGTAGAGGCCGCCTCCGGCCGCAGGGTCCCCTTCCTGGAAAGCAAACAGACTCTTGCCTCTTTTTGGTACGATTTGATATATTTCCCCCTCCCGTCCTGTCCGTCGGCGTTCACCATCAGCATCCTGCCCCCTCACCCCCACCCCAACCAGAGATGCGGGCTGGATAGGGCCCCACCCACCCAGGCGCCTTGGGAAGGAGCCGGGACCCCCGAGAGGAGAGGAGAGGGCGAGCCGGGAGGGTGGGGGTGGGCCGCGCGGAGCACCTGCCCTTCGCTCTCCATGGAAACAGTCGCCCGGCCAGCTCGCTGCTCCCAGATGTGAATAGTCATCACCCAGCGGCGACCAGTTATTTTTCTTAAGAAAAGAGAGAGAGAAAGGAAACCTCCGGGGGGACATCGGTGGGTCTGTTGTCTGGCACCCACGCGTGGTCGCTTCCCGTCGTCACGACGCCTGCATTTCTTTGCAAGAGGCCAAACCTTCTAAGGACTTCGCTGAACGAGCACAGGATGTCCGAGGACCGACGGGTGCGTGCGCACGTCCGCCGTAACCTCCGGGAGATGACGCCGCGGTGCGGTGCGGTCCGGGGTGCCATCCGCAGCAGCACCACGCACCAGTGTAGTTCGCCAACCCTCCCGCCCCCGCGCACACCCACGTGCCGCTGCCTGCGCCCCAGCGAGCGGAGGGCACGCCCCGCCCCGTCCCTTTTGTATTTATTTATGGACTAGGCCGCCGTGGCGTTTCGGGGAGTACGATGTACAGGAACTTAAAAGTGTTTGCTTGAGACTCGGTCCCTCCCGAGGGACTTCTCTCCCGTCCGTCTCCGGCCCTGGCACCCCCCCGAGGGATGGAAAGCTATCCGGCTCCGGCCCCCACGTCCGGCTCCTGCTGCAGAGACAGGAAGCCTGGCTGCGAGATGCTTCCTTGCGAGAAGGGTTTTGCTCTGTTTTGCAGATGCATCATTGCAACGGAGTCTGCGTGTTTATAACAAACCTTCATCCCCAGTGAGTCTCTGTCACTGAGATAAGCATATCATCAAGCATAAGGAGAGTATTACCATCCCTTCACAAGAGAAAACTGTGCTGCATCCGGGAAGGCTCTTGTTTCTCATCTGCTTCTGAGATTAAGTTTTAGTACATCCGCTGCTTCCTCTCCCCCGGCCCCACGTGCCCCCTGAACATGGCCTCTGTGTTGGGCATTCTGATTTTTTAACCTAGATCGAATTTCAGAAATGAATGGCCATTTTACCTGATTAATCGGACATATGTGTACATATACATATATATATATGTATGTCTATTTGATTCTACCTGCAAACACGCGCTTTGGGGTTATTTTTGAGATGAGACTGTCTTGGCTCCCTCGCGCCGGCTTCTGAGTGGGGTCCGGCCCTCTTGCTCCTGGGGAGGCGGGGATGGCGGACTCTGGTGGGAGCAGAGGTGGTGTGCTCACAGCCCTTTCCTGGCTCCTGGGAGCAGCTCCAAGCTGAGGGCCTCCTCTGCTTGGTTCTGCTGTGTGCCTGATGCTGGTGGGACGCAGGGGCTTTGAGGGGAGACCCCGTCTGTCCTGGGGACGAAGGGAGGGGTGGGGAGCAGGGCAGCCCCGGAGAAGCCACTCCTCAGCCGCCCCGGGTGGACCGTAGAGTCCGAGCAGCGGTCCTGCTGGTCGGCACACGTGTGGGGGTCGCGTCCGCGCCAGGCCCCCCTCAGTTTGACCTGGTAGAAAAGGGACCAGTTTATAGAAGGAGCCTAAGAAGCGGAAGAGCCGGTCACTGTGACCAGAACGGAGCCGAGGGAAGGAAGGTCCCAGAAATGTCCTCGGCCTACACATCGCTCGTCCGGGGCCCCGAGCCCTCGCCACCGTCTGTGCTCAGCCCGACTCCTTCCTCCAGGAAACACACACACACCTCCCAGCTGCCCGCATCCTTTCCTGACCTGTGCCGTTTCCAAAGAAAAGGCCCGTCTGCAGACCGGCACTGCGCCCGAGACAGCAGGCTGGGGGCCAGGTGGGGAGGCTGCCCCCGACCCGGCCTGCTCGGTGTGTTGCTGTGTCTGGATCTCGATACAAACTCCTGCTTGGAAGGTTCTGGAGCCCAAAATAGTCACTGTGGGAAGAACATGTCACGCGGAAACCATTCCCAAGCTCGCAGCCACAGCGCCTATGGAATCCCATGGCGTCCTGCGCGTGAAGACCCAGCAGCCTGGTGGGGCTGGAGCGAGGAGGACCTTCCGGGTGACGGGGAGCCTCTGGGAGGTCCAGCCGGAATCACCAGGGCCTGTGGAGGTCCGGCACGGTCGAATCTAACAGAATCCGAGCCTCCACCGAAAGGCCGTCGCAGGGCCCTGCAGCAGTTCCTTCTCTCTGCAGCTCAGCGAAAGCCGCCAGGTGTTTGGTTTGAATGGAAGACTCGGGTGCAGCCCGCCGGAGTTGGCGGGAGGTTCACTCAAGGCAAGAACTGACTCCGAAGGCTGATAAAGGACTGCTCGCCACACGTCCATGCAGCACCGCTGTCTGTCTGTCCTCGTGAGGCTTCTTATTGGGATTTTGGTGGGAAATCAGAAGGGTGGGAGCTCTCTGGATAGGACCCGAGACTGCAAGACGGGGGTGAATGCAGCCCACACGTGACCCCTGTGCACCACTCTGAGCTCAGCTCCAGCAGAGCGTGGGGCCTGCTGGGGGAGGGTGCAGACCCCAAAGGGACATGTTCTGAGAAGCAAGGGTTGGCGGAGGCAGAGGCGGGGGAGGCGTTGGGAGAAGAGCAGGTTTCTGTGTGTCCGGAAGGAGGCTTGCCAAGGAAGAGGAGAGGGCACCTGGGGGGCTGGGGGGGGGGGGAGAGGGGAGAGGCCGGGGAGAAGCTGTTCCGTTCCCAGGGCTTCCATCAAGGTCGCTGGTGCAGAAGAAACGCTGCTGGCTGGCCCTGGAGAGCAAGTTTGTTTCCAGGGACTTAGCCTGGTCCTCACAGAGCAGCTCCCAAATGCCAGCAGCATCCTCACCAGCTGTGTCCTGCGTGGGAGTGGCTGAGCCCAAACCACCCACCTGCCCTGGAAGCCAGCGGGTCACACCTTCTCCCCCGGGCGCCGCCAAGCACAGGGCACAGGGCAGCCGGCGAGGTTGGGGGAGTCACCAAAACTAACAGTGGCCCCCGCCTGATCCCACTTGGCAAGGGGAGTTTGATTTCTGTTTTTAGGGGGTTTTGCTGGGATTTACTTTCTCTCTGCTGCAGAGAGGAGAAAGCAAGCGTCTTACGTTTTTAGAAGAAGCAGGAAGTCACTGCCCCTGACAGTCCTTCTCTCACTTGGGTCTTGCATGCGCCGTTCACGCCATTTCCCCGTTTCTCTAAAACCCGGCGAGGGGGGAGTGCTCCCCCACCGAGCACACCAAATCATCGGGATCTCGACACAGGTGGGCGCTGAGCCAGGGCCCTCCAGGGCTGGGGGAGCAGCGACTGCCGACAGGTTGTGGAGGAAGGGGACAGGGTTGTAGGGCCTGCGCCCCAGCCTGACAGCGAGCTGGGAAGTATTTTAAACACCTTCTTCTCAAGTGCTCGGGTGGCAGGAAACCGGGGAAGGTTCCCTGAGGTGGACATGGATGAAAGCCGTTGTCACGGTGACCACAGCCCCGTGAATTCTGTGATGCCCTGGACCCTGGGAGGGTTCCCTGTGCCTCTGCCTGTGAGCAAGTGCCCGTCAGTCACCCTGGAGGCAGGACTCGGTCATCCAACAGCCTTACGACGCCCCTACACTAAGGCCCACGGGTTCCAAAGACCTTTTTTAAAAAACCTTAAGACATTAACTCCACGAGAACAACTGGGCGTGCTGGGCTCTTTGTACTTTTTTATAGAGAACTTTAATAACTCCAGCCTTCTTTTAAAATGAGTTTTTAAAATAAAACCACTGACAATTTGATAAGACTCCCATCACGCGCTCCCTGCGAGGGCCCAGCGGTGGGCAGCTGGAGCAGCCCCCACCTGCACTCCCATGCGACCTCCTCAGAATGACAGAAAGTCCAGGTGGAGCATCTGGCAGACGGACACTCTCCGAATTTGTCACAGACCCTGGGGACAGCCGTCTACGACCTAGGAACTCATAGGCCCTCAAAAGATGGCTTCCTTGTCCCTCTCCAGATGCAGCCCTCGGATAGCTCCCAGGGTCCCTGAGCCTTCTCCTTGCTCTGCATGGCTCTGAGACCACCCTTTGGCGGGAGAGAGGATGCTTCCTCAGCTCTGTCTCCAGTCCCCGGGGGTCCCCAGGCCCCTCACACTCGGTGAAACGTCAGAGATGTCCCCTAGGGACTCTGCTCACCGGGCAGCTCAGACACAGGTCAGCATCCCTGAGAAGGAAGAGGCAGCACCTGGTGCCCCGGCTTTGTGCAAAGTCCTTTCCTGTGTGCGTGGACAGGGCCCCCCTTTTCAGAAAATAACTATCCAGTCCACTTTATAAGAACCTTTTCTTCTACGATAAGACAGAGGGTGGCTTCGCGCTTTCAGACTAGACAGCGGCGTCCACGTCTCCCCTGCGTAACCCTGGAGGGGTGCCGGGAGGGTCCGCAGCGTGTGCTGATGCCCCTCCCGGGAGAATCCGTTCTTTCCCCGCGGGGGCCAGTGGGCACGAAGTCACCCATGAAGACGGTAATCCTTTTAGGTCCAAAGGGTCTAAAAACTCACCTCGTATTCCCTTCTCTTAGGGTATTTCAGAATAACTTTTCTAGATGGTCAGAAACATTTGAAATCATTGCTTTTGCTACGTAATTTCATGTGTGTGTGTGTGTGAAGGACCTGCCATGTGTGAAGCGTTCATTGGAAACCGTCGCGTAAGACCCCAGGTTCGCGTGAAGGAGGAAGACAGAGAAAGGGGCAGAGGTTTCTCTCTTCTGTATCAGCACCTGCCGACAGCTGTAGGCCGTCCGCTGCCTGCTGGCACTGGGGGTATCGCGGGCGAGATGAATGTACAAATTACTGCATTGCTTTCCTCGATTCATATGACCTCTAACCTTTGTTTGCATGACATGCTTTGTTAGGTACATTATTAAGTGTGTATGAATAAATATAATGATCATTCCTTCGTGTACTTGGTCTCATTGGCATCCTTGGTGTTACCGGAGCCGTTACTGTGTCACAGCCCGTGCCCTCGAGGTGTTCACCAGCTCAATTAAGGACACCAGATGTATGCGTCAGGATTAATTAAAGACCAGGTCTCGAAGGCTTCTGCCGAGCTCATGCCCAGGGAACCCATGTTCCCGTCTCTGCCATCGGCCCAGCCGCTGGAGCCCGAGGCCACCTGTCGCCCGTCACACAGAGTGAGGGGTGCCAGCCCTGAGCTCCCTCCGGCCTCTCGCGGGCTCTGGCAGTGGGATTGCAGCTCAGCTGGAATGCTGATGCACTCGGCACAGGCAGAAGTTATCTGTCTCACATCGTGTCCCCGTCTGAGAGCCCGCACCACAGGGAGCAAGGCCGAGCCTGCAGGGAGGGTGCCAGAAGTGCTTTTGGCTCTGAGGAAGCAGAACTGGATGTCTCCCCAGGATTCTTTTTTTTTTTTTTTTTTTTTTTTTTTTTCACAAAAGCTAATTCGATAAATACATTGCAGAGAGGCTTGTTCTAGACGAGAGAGGGGAAAGGACAATATGGTTCCAGAGACACAGAAGAGCCGGTGATGGGCTCAAGGACTCAGATGCAGGTGAAAATGGTAAAGAAAGTAAAAACAGAACGCCGATTATAAACACGTACACACACACACACACACACACTGATGAGCATGCTAGGTACTTTTCTGGTCCTTTACATGCATTTATTTAAAGTCCACAGAGACCACTCGAGGTAAGTCCTCCTTACTGTGCCCATTTTACAGGAGAGGAAAGGTGAGTCCAGAAAGGTCAATAACAATTCCTGGGTGAGCTACACAGGAAGAGCAGAGATGTGGGCCACACCAGGGGCCTTCCTGGAGGAGGCAGCCCGGTGGAGGATAAAATGGAAAGCAGAGGACACGCACAGGCAGGAATCAGTGAACGGGTGGAGGGGAGGGACTTCCTTATCCAACAGCTATCGAATCATGTTGACATAATCATTTCTTGGCACTTGTGCAAATAGAAGTCACTGTGCCCATCTTGCAGACGGGGAAACTGAGGCCCAAACTAATTAACCGGCTTCCAGTTACGTAACTCCTCAGCAGCACGGCGAGACTGGGCACCAGGTCTCTCAGTTTTTGACCAAAGAGGCAGCCTGGGGGGTGGGAGGGAGGCATCCTGGGGCCCTCCCTCATGGCTTCCTTCAAACTCACCCCATCTCGTGGCTGACTCTGATGTCTGCGAGACTAGATGCCCCTCGAACTGTTTCTAGAAGCCACTCTACCTTCAACTGACTTTTTTTTAGCCTCTGGGTGTGGGTGGAGAGAAAAATAGCCCTGGGATTCTCAGAACCCTTTGCAGCCATCCCCCGCTGGCTGACTCTTGCCTGGAGAGGCCCCAACGGAAGGAGCAGGGGCAGGCAGTCCTGTCTGGCCTGGGGCCACCCTCTCACCATAGGACAGCCCTGCAGGAAGCCCACCCAGATGGCAAAAACAACTGAAACTATGTGCCTGCAGATGGCCCCCAGGGAGAGGATGTGGGGCATGGAGGTGGGGGTAGGGGTGGGGAGTGAAGGCTGGCCAGGTGAGGCCAGCATCATCATCCAGTGCCCAGAGAACGTGTCCAAGGAAAGGGCCTATTTCTTCGGCAGTGGGCAGCCTAGGGCGGCGCCGTGGGGCTGGGCTGGGGCAGAATACGATGGGAATGCTGTTAGATCATCTCAAAGAAATTTAGAAAATGTACAAAAGTGACGCCTGATCCTTGTAGCCAATATAGATAAGGGGGGGAAGCTCCCCATTCCCAGATGCCCACTGCCATGTTTAAACCGCTTGGTACCTTGCTCGCTTCACTGGATTTTTATTAATTGTTTTGTTAGCCTTTCACGGTGGGGCAGGGAAACCCTCCTACGGAACTCCGAGAGGACTTGAAGCTGAGCTTTGGAGGCAGGGAACGCAACATGGGCACGCACACGCTTTAAACATGTGACTGTTACTGGAAGCCTGTACGCACATGACTATCAGAAAGGATGGCCACTCTGAATGGGAGATCTCTCTTGTGCATACGCTCTACACATAGTGCTCGACCTAACGTCTCCGATTTGAGTTTATTTGAAAAGAAGCAAGATATTCCCAAGGCAGCCTTCTGTGCACATTGCCTGCCGCGGTGGGGCACGGAGCAGAGATGCAATCCAGCACCCCGCTGTTTGAGTAGTGCCACTGCACACACGTTCCTTCCAGTCCTCAAGAACTCCGTGTGCAGAACACCCTGAAGGGCCACCACTTCCCGATCAGCAGGTCGCCACAGTTCTGTGACTCACGGCCCGATTATCGGACTTCTGGGTTGCTTCCTGGTTATACATTGTTTTAAACAACGAGGGGAATGAGTGTCTTGGTGCCTAGAATGTGGAAGGCCTTCTGGGAAATGTTCAGAAATAGAGAGGCTGAGCATCTTTGAGACTCTGGGTACTTCCTTCCCTTTGTCTTGCTTCCGGAAACCCTGCTCGCCATGGTAACACTGTCCTGCTCGTGGATCAGCTGGTAACTCATGTTTCTCTTCTATGTCAATGCCTTTCTTTGTGGGTCATTGTCGATTGCATCCATTCACTCATGTAGTAAACAAATATTTATGTGAGCACTGGGCTAGGTGCCAGCTCTGGCCTAGGTTTTAGGGGACATGAAAATTACCGGAGCTTATCATCATGAGAAATTCCCCCTTTTGCCTTTTCCCCCAGGATTTGGAGTGGTTTGCCAGTAAAACACTCCGTGTGATTTGTAAAATAAAAATAGAAGGTCAGGACTAAAGACCCTAAAAGTGTAAATATATTTCCCATAAGAGTTAACAAGAAAGAATTTAAAGGAGAGAGAGGGAGAGAGAGAGAGAGAGTTAACAGAATTGCTGTCACTGATCCTTAAACTTGGCTTTGCACTTCATGGCAGCAAAAAGAAAGAAGAAAAAAAGGTCAGAATCATGATCCCCAGGGCTCTCGCACGTGGTGAAAAGGGAAGCAGATGCGTTCCTCCGGGGACAAAACGCCATTCTTACCACTCAGTTTCAGGAGAAATTTCTTGGATGTGATTTCATTACATAGAAGGGAGACAGCAATGGGAGCGATAGTGTCCTCTGCAATGCTGTGGGTGTTGCATAAGAATACACTTTTGCACGGTCTTTCTGCAGTGATCTTGACCATGTTAGGGGCATGACACTGACATGCACCTTCATGGAAGTGGCCGACCAACTGGCTCAAGCCAAGTCTCCAGGTAAGTAATAGCCAATGAGGTGGCCCAACGTGGTCCACAAAAGATAGCTTAGAGTTCCTGGAGGAAAAAGAGCAATGAGATACCTATATGTTTTATCTATCAGCTTGGCCACGATTAAGCTTTGTTTAAAGATTAAAACCCATCTTGGCAAGAGCTGGGAAGCCAGCGTGCCCATGCATGGAGGGTGGGAGTATAAATGGGCACCATCTCTCTAAAGGGCAATTTGGCACAAACTCACAAAAGTCTTTAAAATGTGCTCACACACAGCAAATAGCAGGGGAAGAGGGGTCCCCTAAGGAATAACCAAAAGTGCAGACGGAGACTCGTGTCAGAGCTGCTTCTCCTCAGGCTCCTTGGTTTGCAGTAAACACAGAAATGTCTGGATTTGAGGCAGCTCTGGGAGCTGGGTTTTTGTTGTTTGTTTGATTTCTGTCCATGTTAGCATCTTAGCTTCTCTTTTATTTTATTTAAAAATTTCATTTTAAAATAAGATTCAAAAGAATTTGCAAAATAAGAGAAAAGGCCCACCCCAGAGCGCATGCGCATGCGGGAATCCAGTTTGGATAAGTGATCTCCAGGAGTGCAGAGGGCCCCCCAACAGCAAATAGCCCTGACCTTTCACCCCAGGGGGCCGCCCCTAATCCTCACTGTCTTGAACAGGGGTGGGAAAGACGGGCTGACCTGAGCTTCCTCCTGGAAGGAGGCCGGCCGGGACCTTTCCCAGGAGGTGGCAGTGGTGGAGCGGACCTGGGAGCTGAGTCTGTGATCTCTACAAGCGATGGCTGAGGGGTTGCCATTCTCAATCCAGGTTTCCAGAAGCTGGAGGCGGTCAGATAACCCCAGGCAGGCTCGTTTTGGGAGAGGCCGGTTTATTGTGCCCAGAGGGAGTTCCCCATCTCGATACCAAGCTCTCGATACCAAGCTCTGAAGGATTCGCAGTCCTTCGCTTGGACTGAAAGGCCTGCCAGAGCCCAGGAAAAGCTCGGATTTCTGGGACCAGCTCTCCCAAATAATGTTCATAATTAAAAAGCAAACTTTTGGACAATATAAAAAGTATAAAGAACACAATCATCGTAATCTCTCTTCCAGGGTTAGTGACTGTGAACACTTTGGTATATTTCCTTGTAGTTCTTTTTATTTTGATTTTTTATTTATTGATATGAGAGAGAGAGAGAGAGAGAGAAATTGATTGCCTTCCCGTATGTGCTCTGACCAGGAATGGAACCCACAACTGTCTAGTATTCAGGATGATGCTCCAACAGACAGCCACATCTGATCTTTTTTATTTTTCACAGTGTGTGTATGTATATTATTTCATTTTATTTTTTTCACAAAGTAGGTCACATGATATAAATATTTTGGGTCCAAATTCTCATGTGTCTCTAATAAGTACATATAAGGATACAATAAATACAAGTGCTATTTACATACTATGAGCATCTTTCTATATCCTTAAATTGAAAACCTGATTTTAATGGCTGTATAGTATTCCATCCTATGGGTATGACAAACTTATCCTAATTGATCCCCAAGTAGTAGCTACTTGGGGAGTTTCCTGTTTGTGTGCATCACACATAAGGCCATGATGAGGACTGATAATTAGATCCATGGAAGCTGGGCTGCTGGATCAAAGGGTTCTAACCGTGTCAATGCTTTTGATCCCATGGCCAGACTGCCCTTCCGAAGGTTGTTCCTGTCCTCAAGCTGCAGTCACTGCCTGGGGGAGGGGGTCTGACCCGGTCCATCAGGGAGCCCAGGGGCCCCTCCAGCTGTGCCAGGGCTGGAGGACAGTGGTGGCCAGAGGGCGCACATCTGTCTTCTCAGGAGCACACACAGCTGCTTCCCACACGCTGCTGCTGAGAAAACCACCCTGCCTCCTGTCATCCCAGCTTTTTCCATTAACTTCAAAGCCAGGAAATGGCTCTTTAAGTCGCAATTTTCTGTCATCTCCATCAGGAGCCAGGTAATTGGGGGGAGGAGGAGCAGAGGGGATACAGGGGGTTGGGGGGGGGCCATGTCTGAGCCTGGCCCTGCTGGCTTTGTTCTGAAAGAGGAGCCCGGGCTCCCATTTCCTGCCTCCCTTTCTCCTCACCCCACCCCACCCCACCCACCAGGACTCTTGGCCTTTGTTATAGGAGCTCCCCCACTCCCCCCACTGGCCACTGATGTCCACACTGCAGTTGCCCCTCCAGAGGCAGCCAGTCACCTGACCCCATCTTAGGGGCGCTGAGCTGCTCTGAGCCATGCACAAGTGTGCTGAGCGAACAGCCACTAAGGCCTGCTCTCCTGGAAGTCCCCAAGGAAGTCCTGTGTCCCTGGCCTATTCAGCACCTCAGCTCCTGCGATCCGTGCCCACGGCGGCAGCATGGGTTCATTTACCAGGTGAGATTGGGGTCTCCCTCAGTCCTGGACCGCCAGGCAGGGTTTTTATAGGGTTCAGCAGAGAGCAAGGACAACCTGGAGCCTGCGGGGCCTCACTCGCCTTTTGCAAAGATCCTCCCCAGGCACTGGCTCTGCGCCCGCAGGGAGCTGTCCAGGTGCTGACCGGTGCTGCGCACCCTCTTCCTGCCCCACCTTCAGACCTTTGCTGCCACACTCCCTCTCTTCCAGGTAGGTCCCCGCTGTCTCTCCGCCCCTAACCCCCAATCCGAGGCCTTCATGCCAAGGTCATGTTCGTGAGCACCCTGCAACTTCTCAGCGGTCAGCATGGAGAGGAATCTTGTTCTGTGGGGGGGCTCGCTGCCCGTGGAACTGTTATATAAGCAATAAGCTAGTTGCCAAGGGGACAAATGGCCAGAGCAGAGGCTGAACAGCTGGTCTGCAGGGAGCAGGGAGGGCAGCTTGGGCCAGGGCCAGTGGGAATCCAAACGGCCACCCAGTCACCTCGCAGGGACATGGACAGCAGCAGCGTGGGAAACCTCCAGGCTCCTCACTCTGAGGAGGAGGGGCACCTTCTCATTGAAGAAAAGAAGTCAGTTGTTAACAGGCCGCACCTGGAGGCCTGACAGGGTGCATGGGGGAGTGGGGGGGAGTCAGCTGGTGGCATGGAAATGGCTCAGAATGAACTGAGAGGTGATGGAACAGACAGATGTGCTGAGGTCTGGGCGATGGGACCAGTGAGGTGGAACTGGTGTCCCTGTCGACCCCTCCCCAACCAGCAGGGTCAGAGTCCAGGAGAAAAGAGGGAATGTGCGGGACTGAATCCACCGTCAAGGAGGAGCAGGTGAGTGAGCAATCACACTACGCGTTTCACAAGCCCCGAAGCACAGGCGCACCGCCTGGTCCCTGCCCACCAGCCAGACAGGGACATCCCCTGGTGGCCCCGCCTCTTTGGGGGAAGAGGAGGCTCCTTCTTTCTAGCTTCCTCAAGTCCAGTATTCCAGAGCGCCTGGATACCTCGTGGCCAGGGAGCCTGTCGCCCCAGCCTTCCTGTCCGCCCAGTCACCCAGAATGTGTGGTCCCCTGTGAGCCCGGGTCCTGACCCCGGGCCTGAAGAGTCTGGTGGCTGTGCCCACGCGAGGCATGAGTGATGCCCGTGCCACTCTCCAGTGAGTGCTATACCTTAGTCATTTCCAGGGCGAATTATGTCTCTCCGCCTCCATTTCCTCACCTAGAAATAGGACTGTCCCGGCTCCTAGGGCTGCTCCCCTCATGTCTCCACGATCCCAGAGGCAGGGAAAAGAGGAAGGCCAAGACCTCAGGGGCTCCTAGAACTTCCACCTGCGAGTGACATGTGTCCCTCTGCTCATACTGCTCTGGGCAAAGCAGACCCTCCGGCCAAGCCTGGCTCCAAATAGGCCAGGAGGACGCTCCTCCCACAGGAAGCCCTGCACAAACCCGTTCCCCCAGGGCAGCCTCCACCTCCCCCTCCGAGGGGCCCAGCTGGGCCTGTGCCCTCTGAGACATAACTGGGTATTTCCCTTCACTTGAATGCGAGGCACAACTTGCAAAGCTGGATGTGCTCGTGTATGTGTGTGTGTGTGTGTGTGCACACGTGCGTATGTGCATGTGTGTGTGCACGTGTGTGTGTAGGTGTGTGTGTAGGTGTGTGTGTAGGGTATGTGTGTAGGTGTGTGTATGTGTGTGTGTAGGTGTGTGTATGTGTGTGTAGGTGTGTGTGTAGGTGTGTGTGTGAAAGAGAGTATGTGTGTGTGTGTGTGTGTGTGTACACGTGTGAGTAGGGGTGTGTGTAGGTATGTGTGTATGTGTGTGTGTGCATGTGTGTGTAGGTGTGTGTGCACGTGTGTGTGTAGGGGTGAGTGTGTAGGTGTGTGTGTGTGTTACTAATTAAGACCTAATGCATGAAGCCATCCCTGATTTGCTCAGATTCGCCCAGGATTCAGAAAAAGCAGAGGTTTTATGAAACTTCTCAGCCAGCGTGGAATGCATGAATTATTGAAAGGACAGAAAAAGACCCAGGGAGGAAGCGCTGCTCCATTATTCATCAGGCCCGGGGTCCCCAAGTCCCCGAGCGCAGCCGGGGGCGGTGACACCTACAGCATTTCCCCGTTGTGTCTCCAGCGAAGGCTTTCGACACACCACGGTGACAGCCTCCTGCCCACACCATCCACTGCCTGGCTCGTTACCTGGACCAGTCCAGGCCGAACTGCGGGCTAAGTGCGTTGGTGTTTAGTGCCCACCCACCTCCCCTTTCTAGCACTTTCTGCTCACAGGCCTCGGAGCTGAGGTCCAAACTCAAAAAAAAAAAAAAAAAAAAAACACCAGAAATGCTTTCATGCTGACCCCAATGTGTCTCTTCAGGTTTATCTCCATTCTCCACCCCCGGACTATTTGCCTTTCCTCGAATATACAATAGTTTCATAGTCTCATACCTTGGCCCATGCCGGCCTCTGCCTGAAACACCCTCCCCAGCCCTTTCTCTACCTGGCAAACATCTGTTCATCCTGAGGACCAGATCGGAGGACGGGAAACCAACTTCCTCGGAGCGCCCTTGGTTAGCCATCATCTCAATGAAGTGTCACGGTAACCCAGTGAGGTGGGTATTAGAATAAGGTGGCCAGACATCCCGCAGTTAGAACCAATGCCAGCTCCATACTTGGGGGGGGTCCGGTGCAAACTGCAAATGCAGCACCGTGTTCAGAAGTGATTTAAAATTTTAGGATGGCAAAAGCAGATCATGAAATTAAGCATACCGCCTTTCTGAAGGCAGGGCTGTGGGCTTAAGTCACGTGCCCATAAAGGCAGCCCTGGGTATGGAGGAAGAGACGAAAGTTCAGAGAGGTTAAGAAACTTGTCCAAGGCCATACAGTGTGTCAGAAGCAGAATCCGGTTGAAAACCCTCATCCATCAAATCGCAACTCCAACAGGCCCATCACTCCACTGCCCTGGAGAACTGCATCACACAGATCAAAGCGAGCTTGGGAAGCAAGTGGGCATCTCACATCCCTCCCTCAGCCCACGAGGGAGGATGCCCACTGCCCCAGCACAACCCTCCTCCTCATACTCAGCCTCAGACAGTCTGCTCACCCCCAAACTCACTCTGCAGTTGCCTGAGGACATGGCTGCTGACCTGGATCCCAGGACAGCGTCTCTGGCCTTTGCTGGGAATGTTAAGTTCAAACCTTGAGAGGTTACATCTCCTGGCCGCTATGCCCATTTTTCATCTTTTCACACCACTGATACAGCCTCACCAGTGTTAGTTTTTTGTTTTTGTTGTTTTGGTTTGGGGGTTTGCTTTTTTACTGTTTTGGTTGTTTCACCTTAAATGCTTTCATTCAACAGTCATTCATTCGATGTGTTAACTGCACACCTACTATGTGGCAGGCCTTCTGCCTTTAAAGAGCCATTTGCTAAACACCACACGGACAGAAAACATGGTGAGGCTTTAAAAGAACAGATCCTGGAGCCACAGGGACCTGAGCTGCCATCCCGACTCTGCCATGTTCCAGCTGTGTGTCCTGCAGCACTAGCTACTGCTCTGTGCCTCCATCTGCAAAATGGGATTGTTGACCTAACCCATGGGGAGCGCTTTGCCCAGTGCCCAGTGCACAGTCAATGCTCAGTAAAGACTGAGTGGCATTGTTGTTGTGGTGATTGTTATTACTGAGCCGCAGCAGCAGTAACAGCTGGAATTGGAAGGTAAGTGTGACCCAAGGCTGAGCAAAGCCCGCTCAGGCGCTTCTCCCAGAGGTGCTCCTCTCCAGGGAAGGAGGGCGGCTTCCGCAGGGTCCAAAAGCCCGCGGTGACAGGTGGCATGGAGATGGGAGGCCCCGCCCCCAGGCCGTTCCGGCCCCTGCCCCGCCCCCAGGCCACCAATCCCCGCCCACAGCCCGGCCTGGCCCCGCCCCCGGGCCGCCCTCGCTCGCGGAGTTGGCAGCCGGCGGCGCTGAGGCTGCAGCCACTGTCGTGGGCGCGGGGCTGCTCGGCGGGACCCGGAGGACGGGCGCCGGGGGAACCTCGCGCGGTGCCCGACGCCCAGACGAGGCACCGGCGTGGGCATTGCACCCGAATCGGGTCGCGGCCGCTCCAGCGAGGTAGGAGCCGGGGGACCCGGAGGCTCTGCCGTCCCCTGCGCCCGCCGCCCCCTCCCCGCACCGCGGCCAGGGCGGGGCGGGGGTCCGGGCGGCGCGGGCGGGGCTGCGGGGGAAGCGTGTGAAGTGCGCGGAGGCGGCGATGCTCCTCTTGGCGAGGCTGCTGGCGGTGCTTGTGGCCGCTCCCGAGCTGCGGGCAGACAGACTCCCGGGCGGACGGAGGGGCTGCGGGCATTGCCGGACTGCGGAGGGCGAGCCCCCGCACCTGTTGCGCTGGGCTGTCCGCGCAGGTGGAATCCACCGCTGCCCGCCCGCCCGGTGTCCTCTCCCCCAGCGGGTCCGGCCGCCCCCCGCCCCTGCCCCGCGCTCCTGCCGCCGGGCTGCGGGGACGGAGGGTGCATGGGTCCGGCCGGGCGGGAGGAAGGGTCCCTACGGGGGCCCCGGAGCAGAGAGGGGCGCGCGGGGGAGCCGGGCGGCGGCCGTGGGGCTTCCGAGGCTGATGCACTACTCTCTCCAGTCGTTAGTGACTCCATCCCGCACTCCGCTCCCCTCCTCGTCGGGCCCCCGATGAAGATGCAGTTTGGTGACATTTTATGAATGAAGCCAAAGGATCACTTCCTGGGGCCGATGACCACCAGATTGTCACTTTCTGGGGCTGGAAGAGTCCAGGAACCTGGCTGGGAGGGAGGAGCCTGGCCACCCTCAGGGTGCTGCCCCCGCGCTGGGTGTAGCCATAACCACGCTCTCCTCCGCCCCGAGAGCCTGCTGGACACTCCGTCCCCTTCTGGGGTTGGAGAAGCTGATGTTCAGAGGAGGAAAGGGATCCGCCCACTTGGCCAGATGCGAGCAGATCTCAGGACAAGGTCCCCCAATGTGACATGTCACACTCCCTCCAGCTGCCCTGTGCCCGCTCCTGCTCCCCACAGTCCGGAACCGGAGATGGGCCCACCCTTCAGACCCCGCCTCAGGCGGCTCCTGCATCTCCCCAAATCCCAGGGCTTGATGGGCGAACATCCCAGACCGCCCTGGAGGTGGGCGAGGGGCGACTTTGGCCTGGATCCCTCTGATGTCCTGGGTTCAGGACCTCAGGCACCTTGGTGGCAGGTTGGTGGCATCTTTCTGCTGACACGACAGCCAGCCTGCCCCCAGAGTCTGCCAGCGACGCCCTGGCTGTGTCTCACTTTCCCACTGACGTGGCAGCTGGAGGTGGCTGGGGACACCCCGTTTCAGGGCCAGGTCCTAGAAAGGGTGAAATCTGTTGCTGCGCCTGAGACATCCCCACCCCCAGCGTCTGCCTCCGTCTGGCATGCGGAAGGTAGCGGGTGCCCCGAGGGGTGGGGCGGAGCCAGGCAGCCCTGCCCACACGTGTCCAGTTTGTGAGGACCCTGGCATCCCCATAGGCTGCACCCACGGCTCCGCCAGCGGGCATCTGGCTTGTGAGAGCAGGGCCATTCTCAGGTTGTGAGTCCGGGCCTATGACCTGGGGCTGAGGTGGGGAAGGGGAGGGAGGAGGGGAGAATCGGCTGGATTGTCCACACCTGGCTGCCGGCAGCCTTCTGTCCTGGTGGAAAACGGGCTGCAACCACGCTGGTCACCGGCAGCGAGCCTCGGTGTCCTCATGTGTAGGGTGGGGCCGGGGTGCTGTGTGCAGCGAGCGCACGGATGTCGTGTCCAGCTCACTGGGGGTGTCCAGGGTGCTCCCTCCTGCCCCGCCTGACGCCAACACTGCCCCTGAGGGAGATGGTCCTGCAGCTGGGACCCTCGTGCCACCCTGGGTGGAGGAGCCGGTGAATGTCTGTCAGGGTAGCGCACAGGTGGGGCTTGGAGTCCCAGGAAAAGAGGAGGGGGGAGGCTGGGAACCCAGTCTCCACCAAGCCCTGCCTTTGGGGGAGTTGGCATTTCTGCCTCAGGGCTCCAGCCTGGGCCTTCCCCATAGACTCTCCCCACACGCGCGCGCGCACACACACACACACACACACACACACTCGTTCCCAGGGGGTCACGGGGCACCAGCCTGCGGTTTTATTCCTCCCGGGTCTGGGGTCAGCCTGTTGCCCTGGCAGCATCGAGGCCAGCTGCCTGTGACTGCAGGAGCCCCAGGACAAGCCCTGCCCCCCCGGGCATCATTCTGTTCCCCCAAACCTGGCCGTCTGCTGCCCAACATCCCACTGCCAGAGACTCGTGCCTTTGGCTCCTGGCCTTGCACTCGGTTGTGTCAGCTGCTCACTGATGCCTGGTTTAAAAGCTTCATGGGAGAGCAGAGGGCAGAGGAGCGGGAACGTGGCTTCCCAGCCTCAGCGTTCACAGAGACGGCCAGCTGGGAGCCCAAGGAGGGCCCTGGGGGAAGGAAAGGCGTGAGGGGTAAGGGGGGGGGGGGGGGCAGGCGGGGAAAGCTGTGAACCTCACATGGGATTCCTGCTGGGAGTGTGGGCTGGGCAGCCTGCTGAGTGTGCAGGTGTTGATAGAGGCTTCCAGAGGCTTCCAGTGTCTGGGGGGGGGGGGGGGGGACCTAGGCAGCCTATTTCTGGAGGCGATCTAGGCCCATCCTTCCTTCCCGCGCTGCTCTCCTGTCCGTGACCGTGCCACGCAGAGTTGCAAGGAGCCCATAGGTGGTGTTCGCGGGCAGGCAGCTGCCGTGGAGATCTGTTAGGTCAGCAGAAGGCTGGGCGGAGCGGTGCAGCGGGGTTCCAGCACCTGTGCCTTCCTGAGCACCCACAGCCCTCCCACTGCCCGTCCTGGGAAAGAGCAACAACGCCCGAATTCCCTCGGACCTGCAGCTCCTGGGCTGTGAGGGGCTGCCCGAGTCACTCCCAAAGACTGTGTAGGGGGGTCCTCACTCCGGGGTTCGTGGGGGTGAGGACTGACAGGCCCTGCCCAGGGGGCCCGCAGGCAGGCTGGGAGGAGTGGGGAGGGGCAGGCCGCGTAGCTCGGGCTGGAGCTGTGGGGGGACCAGAAAAAATGGGCTCGTCCAGGCCCAGTGGTGAGCAGGTGGCTGCCCGTCCCTGTGCTGCTGAGGGCAGAGCTCAGACCCGTGTGACCTCTGGTCATGAGCCCCCCACTGCCCACCACTCTTAAAGGTTACCCTCACCCATACCCGTCCTTAAATAATGACAACGATAACATGGCAGCAGCTCCTCATTCTTCCCTCACAGCACGTATGAGCGCCTACTGTATACCCGCCGGCTACTGTTGTGAGTAAAGGGCACACGACTGTGGCACTGCTGGCATTTGGGGCCGGATTATTCTTTTGGGGAGGGGGCTGTCCTGTGCATTGTGGGGTGTCGGCAACACCCCTCTCCCCACTGCGACAACCGAGAATGTCTCCAGACTGGCCCCATGCGCCCTGGGGGTGAGGCCACCTGCTGCTGCGAACCATGGGGAATGCAGCTGTGAACCAGAGACATTGCATTGCTCTTCCCCAGGAGTAAGCATCACCAGCTGGAGATGAACAATACGCTTGCTAGAGAGGGACCTGCACAGGACGCTGCCCGTGACAAGGCCGGTGGGGGCGGGGGTGGGCGCCATTTTCAAAGGGGCCTTTTCTGTAGGCGACATTTGAGCAGAGAACGAGAGAGGGAGGGAGACAGGGAGGGGAGGGAGGGCCTCCCAGCAGCAGGGGGAGGAAGTTAAGGAAGCAGCTGGAGGTGGGAGTGGGTGAGGCCGGTGGGGACAGTCCAGGCTCTGAAGAGCCCCATCAGGTGACCAGGGGGCCACAGTGAGGACTCAGCTTTCCCCCTGAGGCCAGGGCACACCGCCAGGTGCAAACACCGTCCAGGGGCTGTCCGCGCACTCACAGCTGTCCCGAAAGCAGTTGTTTCCGTACGTCTGTTCCAGGCGCAGAGGGCCGGCCACTTGGGGGGATGCCGGTGGGACATGGGCTGGAGCAGCCCACGCTCCTCTGTCACCCCCCGAATTGCGGACTTGCAGCCGCACAGAAGCGCGCTAGGTCCCAGCTCAGTCGCTCGGAGGCAGTGTGTGGCCTGGGCCAGTCACAGTCCTTCAGGCTTTGGTTTTCACACGGTCTTTATAGGATGGTGTACTGTCCGCCCATGCCACCCCTGCCGCCTGTGCCATCCCTCCCTCCCTCTCCATACACTCGTGCCAGCAGGCGGCAGAGGGCGGCAGCACCCCGTTTCCCCCAGCCACAGGCGCTGTCCTGGATTTGCGCATCTATTCGCCGAGTGGCAGCAGTGCCATCTGGTGAGCTCGAGGCCAGTCTCTCGGGAGGTCACGGGAAGTTCAAGGCTCCCTCTCCTCTCCCACTGCCTCCCTGCCCGTCCCTCCCAGGAGGCTGGCCCGGCCTCTCCTGGGAGCTGGGCGGGCGGAGCTACAGACCAGTGTGCTGGACCAGGACAGGGTCGGCGGCACAGACCAAGACTCTGTGGCCCCTGCACCCCTGAGACCCGAAGGCGGGGGGGTGTCAATGGGCCCAGTGCCAGGGTCTCACTTCCCAAACGATACACGTCAGCAATAGGTTCTCAGCTGGGAACGTGGGTTTAAAAGTTACCCCAGAGAGCTCAGGCTGCAGACACCCCCTCGGTCATGGCCAGTCGAACCCCTTCATTCCTCCGTGTGCGGGGAGTCTGCCTGGGGATGGACCGCAGTGATGGGGGCGCCCAGGAAGGAAATCCCCGGGACTGTGGGCACACGGGTGTGTAGTGTGTGCCGGGGAGTGTGGGAGGCCCCTCGGGAGGCGTGTGTATCTGCCCCGTTGGTATGTCCTTGTACGTTTGCCATCTGATGGGATGGTGGGATGCCCAAGGCCCTCTGACTGTGCCAGGCAAGCTCCACAAGGGAACACGTGAGGAGCCGTTGGGAGGGAAGCGGGAGTTCACTGAGCAGTGACTTTGTGTCCAAGCACCTCACACGCGTGTTTCTCCACCCCCGCCCCACCCCCACTCCTACCCCTACCCCTACCCCCACCCTCACCCCACCCCCACCCCGCTGCCTCCCCAGCTCTCCCATCACCGCTTAACATGCATACTTTGTTGTACGCGCTCCTT